CCACCCCCCCCACACACACACACCCACAACCCCCCCACATTATTTACAAGACTCACCGCTCACGGCAGCCACAACAACAACAACCTAATTACAGCAGCAGTGAACCACCCCCCTCCGCCCCCCACAATCTCCTCAATTAAAAAATAGCAACGCGTTCACAACAACAAACAGAAGCGCGTCCGAGCGTCACAGATATTTTTTTTTGTTAAAAACGTTTCAGAATATATCACGGGGGGAGGAGGTTTTTCATCTCATTTTTTTTGCTATTTTTGCATCGTCCGTACGACAACCCTTTAAACATCCACCCCCCCACCCGACCCACCTGCCCACCCACTAATACCAACCCCCACCCACCACCCACCCCGACCCTACCCACCCACTAAAACCAACCCTGCCCACCCACCACCCTTACCCCTCCACTATCACAAATCCTAAAATGACATCGTTACAAAAATCGACAAGCCCGCCCACCCCCTCCACCAATTCACCCCGACCCAGAGACACACACCAATTTGATGGCATTTTGCTGCTGCTGATGGTGGTGGTGGTGGTGTTGTTGTTGTCTTGCAGCAGCAGCAACAACAGCAGCAGAACTTCGTGTGGTGAGATCACCCAAATCATCTCTGGGATTAAACCTCCACCACCACCACCGCCCACCACCAAACTGATTTGTCCCCCACCCCCCGCATCTGGGCGAGTGGTTGTTCGGATTTCTCTTGCGTGGTTTTTAAGCGTCAAGTTTTAAAAAGTTCAAGTTTTTGAACTTAAAGTCTAAACTTGAAGTCTAAAGTCTAAACTTGAAGTCTAAAGTCTAAACTTGAAGTCTAAAGTCGAAACTTGAAGTCTAAACTTGAAGTCTAAAGTCTAAACTTGAAGTCTAAAGTCTAAACTTGAAGTCTCAAGTCTAAACTTGAAGTCTCAAGTCTAAACTTGAAGTTTCAAGTCTAATCTTGAAGTCTAAAGTCTAAACTTGAAGTCTAAACTTGAAGTCTAAAGTCTAAACTTGAAGTCTAAAGTTTAAACTTGAAGTTTTAAGTTTAAACTTGAAGTCTAAAGTTTAAACTTGAAGTTTAAACTTGAAGTTTAAAGTTTAAACTTGAAGTTTAAAGTTTAAACTTGAAGTCTAAACTTGGAAGTCTCAAGTCTAAACCTGAAGCTTAAAGTTTAATCTTTTTAAAGTTTTAAAACCTCGCGAGCAGTGATCGGTTTCTGACGGAGATGTTCGTTGCGCGACAGCCACCACCACCACCCCCCCCACCACCCCCACCACCACCACCACCCCCACCACCCCCACCAACCCCCGGGGGGTTTGCATCACAGCAGCAGCAGCATCATCATCATCACGGAGTTCGCGAGCGACACGTACAAAGTTACTGGCTCGTCCAGAGAGGGTGGCGAGCGCGAGGCGACGGGGGGAAGGGGGGTGGATAATCGATAACACTGGTCAACAACAAAAAAAACCATGTTTTTCTGGCCTGGACTTTTGCGGCTGTTCTAGACTAATTTCAGGGTGCCGATTCCAAAACTGATCTCAGATTTGCTCCATCACATCTCATTTTTATGCTATCGGCATACCCCATTTTCATTGATTTTACCCGAAATTAACTCCGTCACTTATGATTGCAAGTTGTTGCGAGTCGGTGACTGCTTTAGTGTTAAAATACGGTGCTGTATTTTTAGGATAGTGTGTTTATAATATCATTTCATGTAGATATCCACATTTATTTAAGATTTTTCTTCCGCAGTTTTTATTGAAAATGCAATATTTGATATCTCAAAAAACCTGATGTGATAGACAAAAACTGATTTGGAATCGGCACCCCAAAATTACCTTAAAACCGTTGGAATACCTTATGCCAGAAAAAAAAAGTGTGTTGACCAGTGTTAGTCTCCATGTTTGTTTGTGACAGGACGCAAAGCGACGTTTGAATCCTCGCACGACACGAAACCTCGCCACTCACCCACCCACCTCGTTCACCTCACCACCTCGTTCAACCTCCCACCTCGTTCACCTCACACTCACCACCACCGCACCACACGAAGCCTCGCCACCCACCCACCTCGTTCACCCTCACCTCACCACTCTCCACCACTCACCTCACCACTCTCCACCACTCACCTCACCACACTCCACCACTCACCACACCACACTCCACCACTCACCTCACCACTCTCCACCACTCACCTCACCACTCTCCACCACTCACCTCACCACTCTCCACCACTCACCACACCACACTCCACCACTCACCTCACTACTCTCCACCACTCACTCCACCACTCACCTCACCACTCTCCACCACTCACCTCACCACACTCCACCACTCACCTCACCACTCTCCACCACTCACCACACCACACTCCACCACTCACCTCACCACTCTCCTCACCACTCTCGTCCACAACCTCACCACTCTCCACCACTCACCTCACCTCTCCACCACTCACCTCACCACTCTCCACCTCACCACTCTCCACCACTCACCTCACCTCTCCACCACTCTCCACCACTCACCTCTCCACCACTCACCTCATCACTCTCCACCACTCACCTCACCTCTCTCCACCTCACCACTCTCCACCACTCACCTCACCTCACCACTCACCTCTCCACCACTCTCCACCACTCACCTCTCCACCACTCACCTCACCACTCTCCACCACTCACCTCACCTCTCTCCACCTCACCACTCTCCACCACTCACCTCACCTCATCACTCACCTCTCCACCACTCACCTCACCACTCTCCACCACTCACCTCACCACTCTCCACCTCACCACTCTCCACCACTCACCTCACCACTCACCTCTCCACCACTCACCTCTCCACCACTCACCTCACCACTCTCCACCACTCACCGCGCGACTCAACGAACGAGCGCCGTGCTAGGTAACTCCGTGACGACACCAAAGGGGGTCCCCCCCCCCACTCCCTTCCCCCCTTCCTCCCCCCCCTCTCCCTCTCTCTCCCATAGTAAGGCAACTTGTGGGGGGCTGGGGAGGGGGGGCACGTCCGCTAAGTGCCGCAGGTCGACGCGGCCGGTCTGGGGGGGCCTCGGCGGGGCGGCGGTCTCTTCGTCGGCTCCTCCTTGTTGGTTGTTGTGGTTGTTGCGGTTGTTGGTTGTGGCGGTTGTTGTTGTTGTTGCTTCTGCTGGCTCTCCCGTGGTCTTGGAGGAGGCGGAGTGGACGCGCGTTTGTGAACCCCCCGCCCCCCACACACCGCTCGGTGGAAATCCTCGAGGGGAACGCCACGAGGTCAAGGCTGAGGGTGGTGGACAGTGAGGGTGGTGAGGGTGGTGGTGGTGAGGGTGGTGGTGGTGGGTGTTGGTGGTGGTGAGTGTGGTGGTGAGGGTGGTGGTGGTAGTGAGGGTGGTGGTGGTAATGAGGGTGGTGGTGGTGGTGAGGGTGGTGGTGGGTGGTAGTGAGGGTAGTGGTGGTGGTAGTGGTGGTGGTAGTGAGGGTGGTGCGAGGTGGTGGTGGGTGAACACCCACAACCCCCACCTACCACCACCACCCACACCACCACCCTCACCACCACCACCCTCACCACCACCACCACCCACACCACCACCACCCACACCACCACCCACACCACCACCCACGCCACCACCACCCTCACCACCACCCACACCACCACCCTCACCACCACCACCCCGCGTTGCACCCAGGAGATGGTCTCCCTATTTGCTTCACTGCCCCCGCTGCCCGCCACCTTCCGCTCTTCGCAACAAAAAAACTGAAATGTCGGGGAGGGGGGCAACTCGCTGCACGCCGATCTCCACATGATCCACCAATCCCCTTGACCACGGTCCTAGTGGTTGCCACCATCCACCGCCACCGCTACCATCATCGCCAGCGTCATCATCGTAGTTTCCATCGCCGCCACCATCATCACCATCGTCGTCATTGTTACCACCACGCGCCGCCATCATCACCATCATCGCTACCACCATCATCGCTACATCATCGCCACCATCACCATCACCGCCACCATCATCATCATTGCTACCATCATCATCGCCACCATCACCATCATCGCTACCATCATCATCGCCAGCGTCGTCATCGCCGCCGCCACCATCATCACCATCGTCGTCATTGTTACCACCACGCGCCGCCACCATCACCATCATCGCTACCATCATCATCACTACCATCATCACGCTACCATCATCATCACTACCATCATCGCCAGCGTCGTCATCATCGTAGTTGCCACCGCCACCATCATCATCACCACCGTCGTCGTCATTGTTTGCACCATCCACTGCCACCACCACCATCACCAGCGTCACCACCATCATCACCGTCGTCGCCACCATCACCAGCGTCGCCACCATCACCATCATCACCATCGTCGCCACCATCATCGCCATCGTCGGGGGCGGTGGAGAACGTCACTCTCCTCGCCCCCCTCTCGCTCTCTTCTTGTCACGTAACTCAGTTGGGGGGGGGAGTGGGATAGGTTCAGTCACAGCCGGGCGGTCGGCTTGAGGAGTTTCTCAGTTGCTGCAGAAATGTGTGGTGCCACCCTCTCTGGCTCCTCACCACCGCTGTGGCTTCACCATCGCTGGCTCACCATCGCTGTGGCTCACCACCGCTGTGGCCTCACCATCGCTGTGGCCTCACCATCGCTGTGGCTTCACCATCGCTGTGGCTTCACCATCGCTGTGGCTTCACCATCGCTGGCTCACCATCGCTGTGGCTCACCACCGCTGTGGTTCACCATCGCTGTGGTTCACCATCGCTGTGGTCTCACCATCGCTGTGGCTCACCACCACTGTGGCTCACCACGGCTGTGGCTCACCACCGTTGGCCTCACCATCGCTGGCTCACCATCGCTGTGGCTCTCACCACCGCTGGCCTCACCTAGTGGTGACCATTAACACCCACCCGGTTCACTCGCCCACCCGCTAACTCGCCCGCCGTTTCGCCCAGCGGCCCACCCGCCGTTTCGCCCAGCGGCCCACCCACCCGCCCGCCCGCCCGCCGGCCCGCCCGGCTCAGCACCAGTCGGCGATGTAGTCGAACTCGGTGAAGAGCGCCTGCTCGTCGCGCGCCAGCACCCGGGGCTCGCGCGGCGGCGTCAGCACGGGCTCTTCGGAGGTGAACTCCTCGTCGAAGTTGCTCACGTCCTCCGGGGCGTGCACCACCGGCACGAAGGGCGGCCGCACCTTCTTGGAGAGGAGCGCCGACCAGTCCATCGTCTGTGCTCGCGCCGCGTCGTTGTTGTTGTCGTTGAGCGTGGTGTTGTTGTGTGATGAGCGTTGTGTGTTGTGTGTGTGTTGTGCGTGTGTTGTGCGTGTGTTGTGCGTGTGTTGTGTGTGTGTGTTGAGCGTGTGTTGTGCGTGTGTTGTGTGTGCGTTGTGCGTGCGTTGTGCGTGCGTTGTGCGTGCGTTGTGCGTGCGTTGTGCGTGTGTTGTGCGTGCGTTGTGCGTGCGTTGTGCGTGTGTTGTGCGTGTGTTGTGTGTGTGTTGTGTGTGCGTGTGTTGTGTGTGGGAGCACAAGGAACAGAGCGTCAGTGCAGTGGTTAGCGCACTACGCTACACACACGCACACACACGCACGCACGTACGCACGCACACGCACGTACGCACGCACTCACGCACGCACACGTACACACGCACGCGCACACGTATGCACACGCACACAAAGACAAAGCTCCCCCGTACAGCCTCAACACAGCCTGCCGGGGCAAAGTGCAATTATTGAGCAGCACTTACCACACACACACACACAAGACAAAGATCCCCCATACATCCTGCCGGGGCAAGTGCTGTTAGCGAGCACCTATGAAGGCCGGCACGGCACACGAGGCGGTGGACGGCCAACACCAACCCCACCACCACCCAGATCCCCCGTGTACCCTTAACAGACTGTAGGGGCAAGTGCTGTTAGCGAGCACCTATGAAGGCCGGCACGGCGCACAGAGGGGGTGGGCAGCCAACACCACGCCCGGCCGCCTTTGTCTCCCTAGCGGCGATGTCTACTACACACAGCACCAGGTAACTCATTTGAGGCCGAATCGACCACCACACACACACCCACACGCGCAGACTGGTAACGGTGGGGGCTGTGGGTCGGGGGTTCAGCCAAAAGAGACCGCGATTTTCCCCTCGGTGCCAGTCAGGATGTAACACCGTGAGGAGGGAGAGAGGAGGTGGAGGAGGAGGCCTTTGAGGAGACGGAGAGAGAGAGAAGAGAAGAGGCAAGAGGTGGCTGCGCTGAGTGGTACTCGGACGGGTTCAATATTTCACGAGTTTGGCTTTGTTCAAGTGCCAAGGGGGGGGGGGGGTGGGTTTGCCGCTGATGCCGCTGATGCCGCTGATGCACGAGAAGGAGGGAGAGGAGTGAGCGACGTGAATTATTCACGACCAGTGACAGAGCTAAGGGGGTCCCCCCGGGGGTAGGGCCGTGGGGCGCGGGGGGGGGGAGATACAAAGGCAGGGCACGTCTTGAGCTCGGTGCATTAGCAAGGGGAGTCTGGTCGAATTATCATAAGGGGGGCGTGCGTGTGTGTGCGCGTGTGTGTGTGTGTGCATGTGTGTGTGGGAGGGTGTGTGTGTGTGTGGGAGGGTGCGTGCGTGTGTGCGTGTGTGGGAGGGTGCGTGCGTGTGTGCGTGTGTGTGTGGGGGGTGTGTGTGCGTGCGTGTGTGCGTATATGCGTGTGTGTGTGCGTATATGCGTGTGTGTGTGCGTGTGTGTGTGTGTGGGGAGCAGTAGTGTAGCGGTTCGCGCTACGCTGCACTACAAACTTGGCGACCCGGGTTAGATTCCCGCTCACAACCAACACCAGTGACGATAATCTAAACCGGTCCTGGGCCTCCCCTAGGTCGACTCGGCCTCAAATTAGTACCTGGTGCTGTGTGTAGTAAACATCGCCGCTAGGGAGACAAAGGCGGTCGGGCGTGGTGCTGGCCACCCACCCCCCTCGTGTACCGTTCCGGCCTTCATAGGTGCTCGCTAACAGCACTTGCCCCTACAGTCTGTTAAGGCTATACTACAGAGGAGCCTTCGACACTTCACGTGGCCTCAAAGTGCGTGCGTGTGTGCGCGTGTGTGTGTGCGCGTATGTGTGTGCGTGTGTGCGCGTGTGCGTATGTGTGTGTGTGTATGCGTGTGTGTGTGCGCTTGTGTGTGTGCGTGTGGAGCTACTAGAGTGAGGGAGAGTGGATTTTTCGCGTCGAGAATGGACAGTGCGTGACGGGTCTGCGGGCAGCGTTTGACCGCTGGTGGGAAAACGTCGACGCGGCGGGTAACGGCGGCAGTCTGGCGACTGGGAGCCACTTGGTTGAGCGAGCATTTGTGACGGCTAAGTGGGGGGCCATCTACCCCCCCCCCCCCCACATGCAATTAGATAGATTAGTTTTAGTTTAGCGTGGGGAGGGGGGTGGGCAGGGTGGGGATGGGCAGGGAGGGGGGTGGGCAGGGTGGGAGGGGGATATCTTACAAGGCATTGGTAGGAAGATTGGGGGGGGGGGTGAAACTGCTACTGCTGCTACTGCTGCTACTACTGCTGCTGCTACTACTGCTGCTATTACTGCTGCTACTACTGCTGTTGCTGCTGCTACTACTGCTGCTACTACTGCTGCTACTGCTGCTGCTGCTGCTGCTACTACTGCTGTTGCTGCTACTACTACTGCTGCTACTGCTGCTGCTACTACTGCTGCTGCTGCTGCTGCTACTACTGCTGCTACTGCTGCTGCTACTACTACTACTGCTGCTACTACTGCTGCTGCTGCTACTACTACTCCTGCTACTGCTGCTACTACTACTGCTGCTGCTGATGATGCTGCTGCTACTGCTGCTACTACTACTGCTGATGCTGCTACTGCTGCTGCTGCTACTCCTGCTACTGCTGCTACTGCTGCTGCTGCTAGCTACTGCTGCTGCTACTACTACTGCTGCTGCTACTACTGCTACTGCTGCTACTGCTGCTGCTACTACTACTGCTGCTACTACTGCTGCTGCTGCTACTGCTGCTGCTACTACTGCTGCTGCTACTACTACTGCTGTTACTACTGCTGCTACTGTTGTAGTAGTAGCAGGAGGATTAGGACGATGTGGAGGGGGTGAGGAGGTGCGTTGCGTACCCTGAAGAACGCCTGCTTCTTCACCTCGTCGGCGTCGCGGTCACTCGAGCCCAGCCGCCTCTCTGGACTCTTCCTCAGCAACTGTGACCCACAGACACACACACACACACAGACACACACACAGACACACACACACACAGAGACACACACACAGACACAGACACACACACAGACACAGACACACACAGACACACACACACAGACACACACACACAGACACACACACACACAGACACACACACAGAGACACAGACGCACGCAGATGAAGATGTCATCAAGGCCACAGAGCTGGTGATGCCCAGCGCACACTGCAGTGCCCAAAGCTCCCCCCTTCCCTTCTGCCAGATGCCCGCCTGTTGCCTCACAGGGGGGGTCTCACACACACACAGACACACACAGACACACACACACAGACACATACACACACACACTCAGGTGTGGCCAGCACCACGCACGCACGGCCGCCTTTGTCTCCCCCTGCTGCTACTCGCAAACAAACAGCACTTGCCCCGACAGCCTGTTAGAGGCTACACGGGGGATCTTTGTCTCATAGCTGCTACTCGCAAACTAACAGCACTTGCCCCGACAGCCTGTTAGAGGCTACACGGGGGATCTGTGTCTGTGTTTCACAGCTGCTACTTGCCAACTAACAGCACTTGCCCCTACAGCCTGTTACAGGCTACACGGGGGATCTTTGTCTTTGTGTAATAGCTGCTACTCGCTAACAGCACTTGCCCCGACAGCCTGTCAGAGGCTACACGGGGGATCTTTGTCTCATAGCTGCTACTCGCAAACTAACAGCACTTGCCCCTACAGCCTCTTACAGGCTACACGGGGGATCTTTGTCTTTGTGTAATAGCTGCTACTCGCTAACAGCACTTGCCCCGACAGCCTGTTAGAGGCTACACGGGGGATCTTTGTCTTTCTGTCAGAGCTGCTACTCGCTAACAGCACTTGCCCCGACAGCCTCTTACAGGCTACACGGGGGATCTTTGTTAGTCTCTCACAGCTGCTACTAACAGCACTTGCCCCGACAGCCTGTCAGAGGCTACCCTGCGCGTTGGGAGGTGTAGCAGCTTTGTCTTTGCGTGGAACTCCACTCACCCTGCGCATAATGGCAATAGATTCGGTGGAGAGGAAGCGTGGGTAGCGGACCTCGTCGTTGACGATGCTGTCAAACACCTCCTCCTCGTCATCACCGGGGAAGGGCGACTGCGGGAAACAGGGGGGGAGGAAGTAATACAGTGATACCTCGGTTCACGAACGCTTCTGCTCACGAACAACTCGGTTCACGAACAGAAAAGTTCATTAAAAAATATGCTCCGGTTTACGAACTCCGCTTCTGTTCACGAACAACTCGGTTCACGAACAGAAAAGTTCATAAAAATATGCTCCGGTTCACCAACTCCGCTTCGGTTCACGAACAGGAGCCGCGGGCATTTTAATGCTGTTTCCAGGCTGTCACGTGGTCGTGACTTCCTGTAGGAAGATCGCGGAGAGAAGAAGAGACACGGAAAGAAGTACTGTGAGTCCTGTGAGCGTGTGCAGCAGTTTGTCGCTTGCGCACAATCGCTTCCACGCCGTCGCCCACCCTTTTAGCCCCGCCCACCTCCCTCCCGATACGTTCCATTCATTGGCTACCACATTCTGATGAGCTCCCCCCTCTCCTCCCCCCTCAACTCGCTTTTAAGGGATTACATCTTGAATCATTGCCTCACTTGATGCAGCTAATCTGGCTGTGACGGTCCCACCTGATGACGGAGACTTGTGTTGCCTCCGAAACGTCGTGATTTTTATTTTATTTTTTATTAATTTTGATGTTTTACCTACGTGACTTTACCGAAAAAACCTAAGAATATGAATCATTGCAGTCACGAAAGCTTCAAATCTAGAAGTACTGTGAGTACTGTGAAGACACTTTCAGTGACTCTTTGCTTTTTGGTGTGCTTTTTAGCACATACAGTACTGTACTGTACAATACTGTACTTACTGTATTGTACAGTTCACCCGTTTGAGTGCTAACTGAAGTCATCTCAAGCAAGGTTAGTGTTCTCTCTTTATACATTACTATACTGCACAGTACTAATGTGTATTGTCATTTGTTTCAAATTTTTGTGCTTCAAAAACCAAAAAAAAAGGTCAGAACGGATTAACCGGATTTACATTGAACCCTGTGGGAAATGTGCCTCGGCTCACGACCAATTCGGTTCGCGACCAGAGTCAGTTCACGAATTAAGCTCGTGAACCGAGGTATCACTGTACATCTATGTACAGGTAGTCCTCTACTTGACGATGGAGATACGTTACGATGACCCCATCGTCGTAAGTCGAAAATATCGTGGCCCAGCCTACCCCAGGAGTTCACATCTTCTTGGTTCTTTCGGTAAAGTCACCACGTAGAAGGGAAATAATAAAATAATAAAAATAAAACATAATAAAATAATTCTCACGACGTTTCGGCCACAACGCAAGCAGCCGTCCTCAGGTGAAGAAGTGTGTGTGTCTGTTCGAAATGTTTAGCGTACTTCCCGACATGCAATAAACTTGAAAATTGGCATGTGGGTAGTTTCCAGATTGTACCAATACCTCACCCTCACCCCGTCACTCACCCTCACCTCGTCCCTCACCCTCACCTCGTCCCTCACCCTCACCTCGTCACTCACCCTCCTCACCCTCACCTCGTCCCTCACCCTCACCCCGTCCCTCACCCTCACCCCGTCCCTCACCCTCACCCCGTCCCTCACCCCGTCCCTCACCCTCACCCCGTCCCTCACCCTCACCCCGTCACTCACCCTCACCCCGTCACTCACCCTCACCCTCACCCCGTCCCTCACCCTCACCCCGTCCCTCACCCTCACCCCGTCACTCACCCTCACCCCGTCACTCACCCTCACCACGTCCCTCACCCTCACCTCGTCACTCACCCTCACCTCGTCACTCACCCTCACCTCGTCCCTCACCCTCCTCACCCTCACCTCGTCCCTCACCCTCACCTCGTCCCTCACCCTCACCCCGTCCCTCACCCTCACCACGCCCCTCACCCTCACCTCGTCCCTCACCCTCACCACGTCCCTCACCCTCACCTCGTCCCTCACCCTCCTCACCCTCCCCTCGTCCCTCACCCTCCCCTCGTCCCTCACCCTCCTCACCCTCACCTCGTCCCTCACCCTCACCTCGTCCCTCACCCTCACCTCGTCCCTCACCTCGTCACTCACCCTCACCTCGTCCCTCACCCTCACCTCGTCCCTCACATCGTCCCTCACCCTCACCACGTCACTCACCCTCACCTCGTGTGTCTCACTCACCCTCACCCTCCCCCCGTCCCTCACCCTCACCCCGTCCCTCACCCTCACCCCGTCACTCACCCTCACCCCGTGTGTCTCACTCACCCTCACCACGTCCCTCACCCTCACCTCGTCACTCACCCTCACCTCGTCACTCACCCTCACCTCGTCCCTCACCCTCCTCACCCTCACCTCGTCCCTCACCCTCACCTCGTCCCTCACCCTCACCCCGTCCCTCACCCTCACCACGCCCCTCACCCTCACCTCGTCCCTCACCCTCACCACGTCCCTCACCCTCACCTCGTCCCTCACCCTCCTCACCCTCACCTCGTCCCTCACCCTCACCTCGTCCCTCACCCTCCTCACCCTCACCTCGTCCCTCACCCTCACCTCGTCCCTCACCCTCACCTCGTCCCTCACCTCGTCACTCACCCTCACATCGTCCCTCACCCTCACCTCGTCCCTCACATCGTCCCTCACCCTCACCACGTCACTCACCCTCACCTCGTCCCTCACCCTCACCTCGTCCCTCACCCTCACCTCGTCCCTCACCCTCACCTCGTCCCTCACCCTCACCTCGTCCCTCACCCCGTCCCTCACCCTCACCACGCCCCTCACCCTCACCACGCCCCTCACCCTCACCTCGTCCCTCACCCTCACCTCGCCCCTCACCCTCACCGCGTCCCTCACCCTCACCGCGTCCCTCACCCTCACCGCGTCCCTCACCCTCACCTCGCCCCTCACCCTCACCGCGTCCCTCACCCTCACCGCGTCCCTCACCCTCACCTCGCCCCTCACCCTCACCTCGCCCCTCACCCTCACCACGTCCCTCACCCTCACCATGTCCCTCACCTCACCTCGTCCCTCACCACGTCCCTCACCCTCACCACGTCCCTCACCCTCACCGCGTCCCTCACCCTCACCGCGTCCCTCACCCTCACCTCGCCCCTCACCCTCACCTCGCCCCTCACCCTCACCACGTCCCTCACCCTCACCATGTCCCTCACCCTCACCTCGTCCCTCACCCTCACCGCACCCCGCACCCTCGCCTCCCCGCGCCCCGCACCCTCGCCTCCCTCACCCTCCTCACCCTCACCGCGCCCCGCACCCTCGCCTCCCTCACCCTGCCTCACCTGAGTAATAAACTATTTTACTGTAGCCAGGTAATGGCCCACTGAGCTCTTCATCACAAGCGACCTGAACATCACTAATGAGAGCGGCTCAACAAAGCGGCTTGCCTCGTGGACAATCGCAGCAGCAGCCAGACGCTCTGAACGCGTGGCCACGGCGATGCTGAATGTGGTGCAGGGGAAAAACCGGAGGAGCCGGAGAAAAATCCACGCGACCACGGGGAGAGAGACACCGCAAACTCCAAATATACAGCAGCAGGCGTCAGGGTCGGGGTCGAACACGCGACCTCCTGTAGACCAGGTGAGGTAGTTAACATCTCCTAGCCACCGTGATGATGATGAGAGAGACACACAAACTCCAAATATACAGCAGCAGCAGGCGTCGTCAGGGCAAAAATCGAACCCACGACCTCCTGCACACCAGGCGAGGTAGTTAACATCTCTTAGCCACCGTGATGATGATGAGAGAGACGCACACAAACTCCAAATATACAGCAGCAGGCGTCAGGGTTGGGATCGAACCCACGACCTCCTGTATACCAGGCGAGGTAGTTAACATCTAGCCACCGTGATGATGATGAGAGAGAGACACGCAAACTCCAAATACACAGCAGAAGTCGGGGTTGGGATGGAACCCACGACCTCCTGCACACCAGGCGAGGTAGTCAACACCTCTGAGCCACTGCGGCCCCCCATAATCCCGGCCCCCCCGGTAAACCCCCCACTGCCCCCCCCCTACCCCAGCCCCCCCCCATCTCACCTCCCCGACGAGCATCTCGTAGACGAGCACCCCGAGGCCCCACCAGTCGACGGCACGCGTGTACGCCGTCTCCGTCAGCACCTCGGGCGCCAGGAACTCCGGCGTGCCGCAGAAGGTGCCGGTACGGTCGCCAAAACCCATCCCTGGGGCGGGGGGGGAGTGGTGGGAGAGGTGGTGGAGTGAGTGAGTGGTGGGAGTGGTGGTGGAGGGAGTGAGTGAGTGAGTGAGTGGAGGGAGTGTGGTGGTGGGAGTGAGTGGTGGGAGTGGTGGTGGAGTGAGTGAGTGAGTGGTGGTGGAGTGAGTGAGTGGTGGGAGTGAGTGGTGGGAGTGAGTGGTGGGAGTGGTGGTGGAATGAGTAAGTAGTGGGAGTGGTGGAGGGAGTGAGTGGTGTGAGTGGTGGTGGTGGGAATGGTGGTGGAATGAGTGAGTGGTGGGAGTGGTGGAGTGAGTGAGTGTTGGGAGTGGTGGGGAGTGGTGAGAGTGAGTGAGTGGTGGTGGAGGGAGTGAGTGAGTGGAGGGAGTGGTGGTGGAGTGAGTGGAGTGAGTGAGTGGAGTGAGTGGAGGGAGTGGTGGTGGAGTGAGTGGAGTGAGTGAGTGGAGGGAGTGGTGGTGGAGTGAGTGGAGTGAGTGGTGGGAGTGAGTGAGTGGTGGTGGAGTGAGTGAGTGGTGGGAGTGGTGGTGTGAGTGAGTGGTGGGAGTGAGTGAGTGGTGGTGGAGTGAGTGAGTGGAGTGAGTGAGTGGTGTGAGGGAGTGAGTGGAGTGAGTGAGTGGAGTGAGTGAGTGGAGGGAGTGGTGGTGGAGTGAGTGAGTGTTGCATTTACTCTCCAACACACCGGCTAGTGCTGTGCAATTGGCACGTTCTGTTTGCGTGGTGGTGGACATTACAAGTTGTCTGTGTGTGGGTGGTGGTGGACATTACAAGTTGTCTGTGTGTGGGTGGTGGTGGCGGGTCTAACGACACATTCTATATTCACTAGAGGCCCTTGACGACCGTCATTTGTTCCATGGAACCGCTCGTTAAAGCGAGTGTCGGTAACACGCGTTTAAAGGCTTAATCCGTTCGAAAAGTTACCCCGTTTTCACACAAAAAAACGTTCTTGGTGATATTTAAACGATGGATATTAACGCGTAAAGATGCCAACAGCATTGTAAACGCATGATATTAAAATAAACACGGGTTAAGCGATGCGTTGAATTCCTACAACAGCCCCGTCGTGAACAGGGGAATGGTCGGTAAGCGATGAGTCGTTTAGCAGGCGTGGTCATTAAGAGGGGTTCTACTATACACTATACACTACATTCTATACACTACACTATACACTACACTATACACTATACTATACACTACATTATACACTACATTATTATACACTACACTATACACTACACTATATACTACACTATATACTACACTATACCACTACACTATATACTACACTATACACTACATTATTATACACTACACTATACACTACTATAAAATACACACTACACTACTATACAATACACATTGGGCTCCAATGTGTATTGTATATATGTATCTAAACCAACAAAAACCCCTCTCATAGACCCTATCACCTCCTCACCACAACTCCTCACCACAACTCCTCACCACAACTCCTCACCGCAACTCCTCACCGCAACTCCTCACCGCAACTCTCACCGCAACTCCTCACCGCAACCTCCTCACCACAACTCCTCACCAGCAACTCCTCACCGCAACTCCTCACCACAACTCCTCACCACAACTCCTCACCACAACTCCTCACCGCAACTCCTCACCGCAACTCCTCACCGCAACTCCTCACCACAACTCCTCACCACAACTCCTCACCACAACTCCTCACCGCAACTCCTCACACCCACGGATTCCCCGTTGGGACTGCTCACCTTCCTTGCAGAGGCCAAAATCTGCGATCTTCAAGTAGCCCTCCGTGTCCAGCAGCAGGTTGTCCAGCTTCAGGTCTCTGCAGCAGCAGACGGAGGATGGAAGGGGGGTACGGGGGGGGGGGAGGCATGAGGGATGTGATAGGGAACCAGTCTCTGTGTGAGTCTACGGGTCTCTGTGTGAGTGTGCGAGTCTACGGGTCTCTGTGTGAGTCTGTGGGTCTCTGTGTGAGTCTGTGGGTCTCTGTGTGAGTCTATGACCCCCATCACCCCCCCCCCCCCCCAGGCGTCTCCTCACCTGTACACGATCTTGTTCTCGTGCAGGAACTGCAGGCCCAGCACCACACACGCCGCGTAGAACCTGCAACGGCATTCCCCGAAAACCACTCCGGTCAAACCTCCGATACGACCCTCTGGTTCTGCCGCGTGGAAGCCTGCCCGGGATGTGCCGTGTCACGGCGTACGTAGCGCCGGGCCGTGCCACGTCACGGCATACGTAGGTACCAACGTCACGAACATCATCACCAACATCACCAGAATCACCAACGTCGTCACCAACAACATCGTCAGCAACATCGTCAACAACATCGTCATCATCATCATCATCACAGATTAGCGCGGTTTGGCTACGAATTGTTCGGAAGAATTCTAGATTTGAAGCTTTCGTGACTGCAAGTATTCATATTCTTAGGTTTTTTCGGTAAAGTCACGTACGTAAAAAATTAAAATTAATAAAATATAATTGTTATTTTTTACCTACGTGACTTTACCGAAAAAACCTAAGAATATGTTCGGAAGAAGTTCAACATACGTACATCCAACATCGTCGCCAATATCACGAACATCGTCAACATCATCATCACCTCCGATTAGTGCGGTTGGCTACGTGTACGATGTGTACACACCCACACCACCAGCAGCAAGCAACCACGACCACAGCCAACACCGCCACCATCACGTAACTAGACTGAAAACTCGTTTCAATATTGAAAACTCGTTTCTGCAGTGCTGCGTGTTGTTGTTGTGTTTAGTCTGTTGTCCTTACCCCCCTGCAGAAACGAGTTTTCAATCTTCAAATGGGTTTTCAGTTTAGTACATGATGGTGGTGATGTTGGTGGTGATGTTGGTGGTGATGTTGGTGGTGATGTTGGTGGTGATGTTGGTGGTGATGTTGGTGGTGATGTTGGTGGTGATGTTGGTGGTGATGTTGGTGGTGATGTTGGTGGTGATGATGGTGGTGATGATGGTGATGTTGGTGGTGATGTTGATGGTGATGTTGGTGGTGATGTTGGTGGTGATGTTGGTAGTGACGTTGTTGACGATGTTGGTGATGTTGGTGGTGATGTTGGTGGTGATGTTGGTGGTGATGTTGGTGATGATGTTGGTGATGTTGGTAGTGATGTTGGTGATGATGTTGTTGCCGATGTTCGTGACGTTGGTAGTGATGTTGGTGATGATGTTGGTGGTGATGTTGGTGGTGATGTTGGTGGTGATGTTGTTGACGTTGGTGGTGATGTTGGTGGTGATGTTGATGTTGGTGGTGATGTTGGTAGTGACGTTGGTAGTGACGTTGGTGGTGATGTTGGTGGTGGTGATGTTGGTGGTGGTGATGTTGGTGGTGGTGATGTTGGTGGTGATGGTGGTGGTGACGTTGGTGGTGACGTTGGTAGTGATGTTGGTGGTGGTGATGTTGGTGGTGATGTTGGTGATGATGTTGGTGATGATGTTGTTGGTGATGTTGGTGGTGATGTTGGTAGTGATGTTGGTGGTGGTGATGTTGGTGATGTTGGTGGTGATGTTGGTGGTGATGTTGTTGACGATGTTGGTGATGTTGGTGGTGATGTTGGTGATGATGTTGGTGGTGATGTTGGTGGTGATGTTGATGATGATGTTGGTGATGATGTTGGTGGTGATGTTGGTGGTGATGTTGATGATGATGTTGGTGGTGATGTTGGTGGTGATGTTGTTGACGATGTTGGTGATGTTGGTGGTGATGTTGGTGGTGATGTTGGTGGTGGTGATGTTGGTGGTGGTGATGTTGGTGGTGGTGATGTTGGTGGTGGTGATGTTGGTGGTGGTGATGTTGGTGGTGGTGATGTTGGTGGTGATGTTGGTGGTGATGTTGTTGACGATGTTCGTGACGTTGGTGGTGATGTTGGTGGTGATGTTGTTGACAACGCAGCCAAACCACGATAATCGGAGGCAGCGTAAGCCCCGCACGCCTCTCTCCTCGCTCATGCCGGTTCCCCTCTCAGCGTCAGACCCCCCACCACCCACCTCTCCCCCCACCTCCCCCCACCTCCCCCCCACCTTCCCCCCACCACAGCAACGTACACGGTGCGCGGCTCCGAGAAGACGTCGGCGTGGATGTGCATCATCAGGTCCCCGCCGGGGGCGTACTCCATGACAAAGCAGACGTGGTCGCGCGTCTGAAAGCAGGCGAAGAGGTTCACCAGGAAGGGGTGGCGCACGCTGTTCACCGTCTCAAAGATCCGCTTCTCGCACATGAGGCTGCGTCGGGGGTTACACGCACGGGCGCATTGTCATCATCGGCAGCAGTAGCGTCATCATCGGCAGCATCATCGTCATCATCATTAGCATGATCGTCATCATCATCAGCATCATCGTCATCATCGGCAGCAGCATCATCGTCATCATCATCATCAGCAGGAGCATCATCGTCATCATCATCAGCAGCAGTAGCTTCTCGCACATGAGGCTGCGTCGGGGTTTACACGCACGGGCGCGCGGGCGCATCATCATCATCGGCAGCAGCGTCATCATCAGCATCATCGTCACAGCATCATCGTCGTCATCGCAGCATAGCAGTTCGTCATCATCATCAGCATCATCGTCGTCATCATCAGCAATCATCGTCATCATCATTAGCATCATTGACAGCAGTAGCAGCGTCGTCATCATCATCAGCACCGTCGTCGTCGTCATCATCATCAGCATCGTCATCATCGGCAGCAGTAGCATCGTCGTCATCTTCATCAGCAGCAGCGTCATCATCGTCATCATCATCATCAGCAGCAGCAGTAGCAGCGTCATCATCATCAGCAGCATCGGCATCATTGGCAGCAGCAGCATCGGGCATCATCATCAGCAGCATTGGCATCATCGGCAGCAGCATCGGCATCATCACTAGCATCGTCATCATCATCAGCAGCAGCATCGTCATCATCGGCAGCAGCAGCATCGTCATCATCGGCAGCAGCAGCATCGGCATCATCAGCAGCAGCATCGGCATCATCGCCAGCAGCGTTGTCGTCATCATCAGCAACATCGTCATCAGCAGCAGCATCGTCATCATCCACAGCAGCTGTAGCATCGTCATCGTTATTATCGACATCATCGTCATCATCAGCATCATCATCGTCATCATCATCATCAGCATCATCATCGACATCATCGTCATCATCAGCATCATCATCAGCATCATCATCATCAGCAGCCTCTTGATGTTATCACCGCGACCGCCCCAACGCTGTTCACCGTCTCGTAGATCCGCTGCTCACACCTCAGGCTGCGTCGGGGCAAACACAAAGACAAAGACCCCCCGTATAGCCTCAACAGACTGTAGGGGCAAGTGCTGTTAGCGAGTAGCAGCAGCACCTACGAAGGCTGCCGGCGCTGTGGCACACGAGGGGGTGGGTGGCCATACAAAGACAAAGACCCCCCGTACAGCCTCAACAGACTGTAGGGGCAAGTGCTGTTAGTGAGTAGCAGCACCTACGAAGGCTGCCGGCGCTGTGGCACACGAGGGGAGGGGGGGGGTGGCCAGCCCGGTCACCTTTGTCTCCCCCCAGTGGCGATGTTTACACACCAAACAGACCTAGGGGAGGCCCAGGACTGGTTCAATGTAGTATAGCGGTGTAGTGTATAGGGTAGTTTATAGTAGTGTATAGTAGTGTATAGTGTAGTGTATAGTAGTGTAGTGTATAGTAGTGTAGTGTATAGGGTAGTTTATAGTAGTATATAGTGTATAGTAGTGTATAGTGTAGTGTATAGTAGTGTAGTGTATAGTAGTGTATAGTAGTGTAGTGTATAGTGTAGTGTACAGTGTAGGGTATAGTAGTGTAGTGCATAGTGTAGTGTATAGTGTAGGGTATAGTGTAGGGTATAGTGGTATAGTGTAGGCTATAGTGTAGTTTAAAGTGGTGCAGTGTATAGTAGTGTAGTGTATAGTGTAGGGTATAGTGTAGGGTATAGTGTGTAGTGATGTAGTGTATAGTGTAGTGTATAGTAGTGCAGTGTATAGTGTAGTTTAAAGTGGTGTAGTGTATAGTGGTGCAGTGTATAGTGTCGTGTGCAGTGTATAGTAGTGTATAGTAGTGTAGAATATAGTGTAGTGTATAGTGTACTAGAAAGTGACACTCCCCCCGCTTCCCCAACAATAAACCACCACCACCTCCACCACCACCACCTCCACCACCACCACCTCCACCACCTCCACCACCACCACCACCTCCACCACCACCACCTCCACCACCACCACCACCACCAACCAACCAAATAGACAGCACAACAACAACAACAACCGCTGCCACCGCAGACAATCGCCGCTTGACAAACGTCACGGGCAGCGGCCGTAAATCGCCAGTCGGTAAGCACCCGCACCGGCACACGGCACCCGGCACCCGGCACACGGCACCCGGCACCCGGCACACGGCACACGGCGCCGCTGCCGCCGCGTTTCCTCGCAACGTAAACAAGCCGCTCCAAACAAGGGCCGGCCACGCGGCGCTGGGAGAGTGGTGGGAGGGAGGAGGGGTGAGGAGGAGGGGTGAGGAGGGGTGAGGAGGTGGGGAGGGTGAGGAGGGGGGTGAGGAGTGAGGAGGAGGGGTGAGGAGGGGGGGTGAGGAGGAGGAGGTGGGGAGGGTGAGGAGGGGTGAGGAGGAGGGGTGAGGAGGTGGGGAGGGTGAGGAGGTGGGGAGGGTGAGGAGGAGGGGTGAGGAGGGGGGGTGAGGATGGTGGGGAGGATGAAGAGGGGTGAGGAGGATAGTGAGGGTGAGGAGGAGGGGTGAGGAGGAGGGGTGAGGAGGAGGAGGTGGGGAGGATGAGGAGGCGTGGAGGGTGGCGAGGGTGAGGAGGGGGAGGTGGTTGGGTAAAGAGAGCGATTTGTGTCCATATTGGGATGTAGGGACAGCAACAAACAGTGAGTGGGTGAATGAACGAGTGGGCGAGTGAGCGTATGTGTGAGTGAGTGTATGAGTGGGTGATTGTATGAGCGAGTGAGCGTATGAGTGGGTGGGTGTATGAGTGAGTGAGTGTATGAGTGAGTGATTGTATGAGTGAGTGATTGTACAAGTGAGTGTATAAGTAAGTGAATGTATGAGTGAGTGTATGAGTGAGTGAATGAGTGAGTGAATGAGTGAGTGTATGAGTAAGTGAATGTATGAGTGAGTGTTCCAGTGAGCGTATGAGTAAGTGTGTGAGTGAGTGAGTGTATGAGTGAGTGAGTGTATGAGTGAGTGAGTGTACGAGTGGGTGTATTAGTGAGTGAGTGTATGAGTGAGTGAGTGAATGTATGAGTGAGTGTATGAGTGAGTGTATGAGTGAGTGAGTGTATGAGTGAGTGTGAGTGGATGTATGAGTGGGTGAGTGTATGAGTGAGTGTATGAGTGAGTGAGTGTATGAGTGAGTGTATGAGTGAGTGTATGAGTGAGTGTATGAGTGGGTGGGTGTATGAGTGAGTGGGTGAGTGGGCGAGGGAGTGGGTGAAGGAGTGGGTGAGTGAGTGGGCGAGGGAGTGGGTGAAGGAGTGGGTGGGTGAGTGGGTGAATGGGTGGGTGGGTGAGTGGGCGAGGGAGCGAGTTCAAGTTGATGTTGTGTGACCAGGGTAGAAATTCGAGAGACCGGGGTACAGGCATCTCATTCACAAGAGTGACCCGGATGTCGATGACGATGATGTTGTTGTTGTTGTTCCATCGTTACCTTTCCACCTCATCGCGAGCGACGATGTCGCCTTTCTTCAACGCCTTGATGGCGAACATCTCCCCAGTGTGGCGGTATTCGGCTAGGAGCACCTGGGCACACGCACAGACGCACACACACAGATGCACGCAGACGCACCCACACAGACGCACGCACAGATGCACACACAGAGACGCACGCAAATGCACATGCACAGAGACGCACGCAAATGCACATGCACAGACGCACATGCACAGACGCACACGCACAGACACACACGCAGATGCACGCACACAGACGCACCCACACAGACGCACGCATAGATGCACGCGCACAGACGCACACGCACAGACACACGCACAGATACGCACATGCACGCACACAAACGCACACGTACAGAGACGCGCACAGACGCACGCACACAAACGCACGCACACAGACGCACGCACAGAGAGGCACACGCACAGAAGCACGCACAGAGACGCACACACACAGACGCACACACACGCACACAGATGCACGCACAGAGACGCACACACACAGAAGCACGCACAGAGGCACACGCACAGAGAGGCACACGCACAGAGACGCACACGCACAAAGACGCACACGCACAGACGCACACGCAGACGCACACGCACAGACGCATGCAGACGCACACACACACACGCACACACACAGACAGAGACAGACTTGAACAAACGGTCGGAGTTAACCCCGCGCGTGGCCTTTAAAAGCCTTTGCCATTCCGATGACTCAACTAAACTAGGAAACTATTTTTTATTTTACCAGGTAAGGTCAGGACCCACTCTTTTTTTCAGAAGCGATGTGGCTATCACAAATGATAGCCCAAACAAGTGTGGCGTATCACGTGGTAAAGTAGAGCATCCAAACACTCTATAAACGCGTGGTGGTGATGCTGATTCTAAATGTGGAGGGAATAAAGCGGAGGTCGGGATCGAACCCACGACCTCCTGTACACCAGGCGAGGTAGTTAACATCTCATAGCCACCGTGATGATGATGATGATGATAGAGACACGCAAACCCCAAATATACAGCAGCAGGCATCGTCAGGGTCGGGATTGAACCGACGACCTCCTGCATTCCAGGCGAGGTAGTTAACATCTCCTAGCCACCGTGATGATGATGATGAGAGAGACACAGACTCCAAATATACAGCAGCAGGCATCGTCAGGGTCGGGATCGAACCCACGACCTCCTGCACACCAGGCGAGGTAGTTAACATCTCCTAGCCACCGTGATGATGATGATAGAGACATGCAAACTCCAAATATACAGCAGCAGCAGGCGTCGTCAGGGTCGGGATCGAACCCACGACCGCATGCGTACCAGGTGAGGTAGTTAACATCTCCTAGCCACCGTGATGATGATGATGAGAGAGACACAGACTCCAAATATACAGCAGCAGCAGGCATCGTCAGGGTCGGGATTGAACCGACGACCTCCTGCATTCCAGGCGAGGTAGTTAACATCTCCTAGCCACCGTGATGATGATGATGATGATAGAGACACGCAAACCCCAAATATACAGCAGCAGGCATCGTCAGGGTCAGGATCGAACCCATTAACCTCCTGCATACCAGGCGAGGTAGTTAACATCTCCTAGCTACCTTGATGATGATGATGAGAGAGACACAGACTCCAAATATACAGCAGCAGGCGTCGTCAGGGTCTGGATTGAACCCACGACCTCCTGTAGACCTGGCGAGGTTGTTAACATGTCCTAGCCACCGTGATGATGATGATAGAGACATGCAAACTCCAAATATACAGCAGCAGCAGGCATCGTCAGGGTCGGGATCGAATCCACGACCTCCTGCGTACCAGGCGAGGTAGTCAACATCTCATAGCCACCGTGATGATGATGATGAGAGAGACACAGACTCCAAATATACAGCAGCAGGCATCGTCAGGGTCGGGATCGAACCCACGACCTCCTGCACACCAGGCGAGGTAGTTAACATCTCCTAGCCACCGTGATGATGATGATAGAGACATGCAAACTCCAAATATACAGCAGCAGCAGGCGTCGTCAGGGTCGGGATCGAACCCACGACCGCATGCGTACCAGGTGAGGTAGTTAACATCTCCTAGCCACCGTGATGATGATGATGATGATGAGAGAGACACGCAGACTCCAAATATACAGCAGCAGCAGGCGTCGTCAGGGTCTGGATCGAACCCACGGCCTCCTGTATACCAGGCGAGGTAGTTAACATCTCATAGCCACTGTGATGATGATGATGATAGAGACATGCAAACTCCAAATCTACAGCAGCAGCAGCAGGCGTCGTCAGGGTCGGGATCGAACCCACAACCTCCTGTAGACCAGGCGAGGTAGTTAACATCTCCTAGCCACCGTGATGATGATGATAGAGACACGCAGACTCCAAATATACAGCAGCAGCAGGCGTCGTCAGGGTCTGGATCGAACCCACGACCTCCCCTGCATACCAGGGAGGGAGGGGGGTGAGTGGGTGGGGGGGGGGGGTTCCTCACCTTGCCAAAGTGGCCCCGACCCAGCACAGAAGTACACCTGAAGTTCTCCATGCTCAAACTCGGATGGCTGGGGGGAGGGGGGGCGGGGGGGGAGGGGGGGAGCAGAGGTGGGGGGGGGAGACGCGGGTGTGGAGAAGTGGGCGGGTGAGGCGAGCTGTTAAGAAGTTTGAATAATAATATTAATAGGGGGTTTTTCCCATTTTTTCTGTCAACAAAACTGATTTTTTTACGAGGATTCACGTCACTGCATTAACCAGAATACTTGCAGTCAAAATGCAAACAAAAACATATTTTCAAATATTATATTTTGGTACTGGCAAACGAGTGAGTGGAGTGCGTGAGCGAGTGAGTGGGTGAGCAAGTGGGTGAGTGAGTGAGTGGGTGAGCGAGCGAGTGGGAGAGTGTGTGGGTGAGTGCTTGAGTGCGTAGGCGAGTGGGCAAGTGGGTGAGTGGGAGTTGAGTTGGGTGAGTGTGTGGGCGAGTAGTTGAGTGGGTGATTGAGTGGGTGAGTGTGTGGGCGAGTAGTTGAGTGGGTGAGTGGTTGAGTGGATGAGTGAATGCGCAGGTGGGCGAGTGGTTGAGTGAGCGAGTGGGAGTGTAGGTGAGTGGCTGAGTGTGTGTTTGAGTGAGTAGTTGAGTGGGCGAGTGGTTGAGTGGGCGAGTGGTTGAGTGGGTCTTTGAGTGCGCAGGTGAGTGGGCGAGTGGTTGAGTGGATGAGTGAGTGCGCAGGTGAGTGGGCGAGTGGTTGAGTGAGCGAGCGAGTGGGAGTGTAGGTGAGTGGTTGAGTGGGCGAGTGGGCGAGTGGTTGAGTGGGTGAGTGAGTGCGCAGGTGAGTGGACGAGTGGTTGAGTCAGCGAGTGGGAGTCTAGGTGAGTGGTTCAGTGGGTGTTTGAGTGAGTAGTTGAGTGGGCGAGTGGGCGAGTGGTTGAGTGGGCGAGCGAGTGTGTGTGGGTGTAATTAGCTCAACGGGAGAATTGATCTTGATTCCGCTCCTTCCAAGGTCCACTATGGCTGTGTAATGGGCTGGTTGAGTGGGTGTTTGAGTGAGTAGTTGAGTGGGCGAGTGGTTGAGTGGATGAGTGAGTGCGCAGGTGAGTGGGCGAGTGGTTGAGTGGGCGAGCGAGTGTGTGTGGGTGTAATTAGCTCAACGGGAGAATTGATCTTGATTCCGCTTCTTACAAGGCCCGCGCTGGCTGTGTAATGGGCTGGTTGAGTGGGTGTTTGAGTGAGTAGTTGAGTGGGCGAGTGGGCGAGTGGTTAAGTGGGTGAGTGGGAGTGTAGGTGAGTGGGTGAGTGGTTGAGTGAGCGAGCGAGTGGGAGTGTAGGTGAGTGGTTGAGTGGGCGAGTAGTTGAGTGAGCGAGTGGGAGTCTAGGTGAGTGGCTGAGTGGGTGTTTGAGTGAGTAGTTGAGTGGGTGAGTAGTTGAGTGGTTGAGTGGGTGTTTGAGCTGAGTAGTTGAGTAGGCGAGTGGTTGAGTGGATGAGTGAGTGCGCAGGTGAGTGGGCGAGTGGTTGAGTTGTTGAGCGAGTGTGTGTGGGTGTAGTTAGCTCAACGGGAGAATTGATCTTGATTCCGCTTCTTACAAGGCCCGCGCTGGCTGTGTAATGGGCTGGTTGAGTGGGTGTTTGAGTGAGTAGTTGAGTGGGCGAGTGGGCGAGTGGTTAAGTGGGTGAGTGGGAGTGTAGGTGAGTGGGTGAGTGGTTGAGTGAGCGAGCGAGTGGGAGTGTAGGTGAGTGGTTGAGTGGGCGAGTAGTTGAGTGAGCGAGTGGGAGTCTAGGTGAGTGGCTGAGTGGGTGTTTGAGTGAGTAGTTGAGTGGGTGAGTAGTTGAGTGGTTGAGTGGGTGTTTGAGCTGAGTAGTTGAGTAGGCGAGTGGTTGAGTGGATGAGTGAGTGCGCAGGTGAGTGGGCGAGTGGTTGAGTTGTTGAGCGAGTGTGTGTGGGTGTAGTTAGCTCAACGGGAGAATTGATCTTGATTACGCTTCTTACAAGGCCCGCGCTGGCTGTGTCGCCGCTCACCTGGCTACGGGGGGCAGCGTCGGCTGCTGGGGTGCCGGTAGGGCCGGCCGCGGCTGTGCCGTGGCCGGCGGTGTGGCCGGAACGAGGGTGGTGGCCGACGGGAGAGAGATGAGGACGCTCTGCCTGTCGTTGAGGAAGTCGAAGGACGAGATGGCTTCCTGCGCGATGAGCCAGGATGTGCGGGGGGGGGGGGGTAAGGAGGGAGGGAGGAGAGGGAGGACAGGGAGGGAGGAGAGGGAGGAGAGGGAGGACAGGGAGAGAGGCGAGAGGGAGGGAGGCAGACAGTGGGTACACCCACAGTGAGTCAATCGGCCGGCCATGTTGCGGACAGAGGCGGGAGGGGTGGGATAAAGGCGCCCACCTCTTTCATCCAACAGACCTCTGGCCTAACCAACGCAGGCATCGACTGTGAAGGAGTAGAAACATAACGCTGCCAAAGCCTGTTCCTTCCCCACGCGTCCTGCCACCCACACCCTGCCCAAAGCCCCCCCCCCCCCCCCCACCAACGCCCATCCCTGCCCCCCACCAACGCACACCCCTGCCCCCCACCAACACCCACCCCCTGCCCCCCCACCCTTTATAAACCCACGTGGACGGCAATGGTGGCAGCACCCGCCATGTTTCTTGCTATCGTTGTCATTCCACCCACGCGCAACCTCCGATCGGCACCGTCTGGCTACGTACGGCGCCAAAGAAGTTGGACGTACACACGTACACACACGTACACACACGCGCACACACACACACACACGTACACACGCACACATACACACACACACACACAGTGACACACACACGCGCACACACACACGCACACACCTACACACACACCTACACACACACGCGCACACACACGTACACACACACACACGTATACACACACGATCCAACCCTTACCTGGACATCTGGGGTCATGTTGTTGTTGTTGGGTCCGGGGGTCACCGGCCCCTCGCCAAGGGCCATCTCCTGGTCGGCTCCTGAGGCAGAGTCCCCCTCAAAGTTCAGCTTCTGCACCGAGCGATCCCTGCAGGAAGCCGACCACCAGCCATGTGAAGAAGCAGCAGCGTTAGCAGACACAGAGATCTCCACCCCCCCACCACCACCACCACCGTGTAGTCTCAGAGTGTTGGGGCAAGTGCTCGCTCGCTCGCTCACTCACTCACGCACTCGCTCACTCACTCACGCACTCGCTCACTCACTCACTCAGGCACTCAGGCACTCACTCACGCACTCAGGCACTCACTCGCGCACGCACTCACTCGCTCACACACGCACTCGCTCACGCGCTCACGCACTCAGGCACTCACTCACTCACGCACTCACGCACTCACTCACTCACGCACTCACTCACGCACTCACTCACTCACGCACTCACGCACGCACTCACTCACTCACGCACGCACTCGCTCACGCACTCACTCACTCGCTCACACACTCACTCACGCACTCACTCACTCACGCACTCGCTCACTTGCTCACTCACTCACATACTCACTCACGCACGTGCAGAGATCACCCGTGTAACCTTAACAGAGTGTTGGGGCAAGTGCTGTTAGTAGCGAGTAGCAGCGCCTATGAAGGCCGGCACGGCACACAAGGGGCTGAGTGGCCAATACACCAATATCACTATCATCGCCACCACCACCACCATCGCAGTTACTCACCACCACTACCACGACTACCGCTATCATCACCACCACCGCCGTCGCCGCTACCGCCCATCACCACTCCCATCCATCACCGCCACCAACGCCCCCCACCACCCACCACCACCACCACCACCGCCACCATCCATCACCACCACCAACGCCACCCACCACCACCACCCACCACCACCACCCACCACCACCACCCACCACCACCATCCATCACCACCACCACCCATCACCACCACCACCCATCACCACCACCACCCATCACCACCACCAACGCCACCAACGCCACCCACCACCACCACCACCCATCACCACCACCTGCCATCACCACCACCACCCATCACCACCACCAACACCACCAACGCCACCCACCACCACCACCACCACCACCACCGCCACCACCACCGCCACCACCACCACCACCACCATCCATCACCACCGCCACCCATCACCACCGCCACCCATCACCACCACCATCCATCCCATCACCACCACCCACCACCACCACCCATCACCACCACCAACGCCACCCACCACCACCACCCACCGCCCATCATCGCCACCCACCGCCACCCATCACCACCGCCACCACCACCCACACGCCGCCTCACCCGGTGAGCGGCGACTGCGGCCCGGCCGTCTTGGTGTGCTCCCGCGTCCCGGCGGGCGTGGGGGAGCTGGGGGGCAGGGGCCCCCCCCCTCCGCCCGACGGCGGGGGGCTGAAGGACGAGGGGGTGTTGCAGGGAGGCACCGAGCGCTTCATGAGGCGGCTCCAAGTGGGGATGTTGATGTTCATCTGGGGGGCTCTCAGGAACGTCTTGCCCACTATCACACGGCGGTGGGGGGGGCGGTGGTGGGTGGAGGGGGTGGTGGGGGGGTGGTGGGTGGGGGGGTGGTGGGTGGGGTGGGTGGGTGGGGCGGGTGGGTGGGGGGGGTGGTGGGTGGGGTGGTGGGTGGGGTGGTGGGTGGGGGGGTGGTGGGTGGAGGGGGGATGGTGGGTGGGGCGGTGGTGGGTGGTATGGTGGTGGGTGGGGGGGTGGTGGGTGGGTGGTGGGTGGGGGGGGCGGTGGGTGGGGGGGTGGTGGGTGGGGGGGTGGTGGGTGGGGGGGTGGTGGGTGGGTGGGGCGGTGGGTGGGGGGGTGGTGGGTGGGGTGGGCGGTGGGGATGGTGGGTGGGTGGGGCGGCGGTGGGTGGGGGGGGGGTGGTGTGTGGGTGGGGCGATGGTGGGGTGGGGGTACGGGAGCAGTGTAAGTCACGGGGGCCATGGACAAGTGAAGAGACGTGAGTGGCTGGCGTCAACCTTTCTTGCCTGCTGGTGCTTACTCAGCCACCTTGTTGAATTGTGTTTCAAGCGAGTCACCACATTTTACTGTTGCAATACAGTATTGTAATTAATGAATACACACGGTATATAGTTTATACAGTACGCTACTGCCAATCGCTCCGATTTGCTAAATTATCACCATTCTTCAAGACTCCTGGGTAGGCTGGGCCATGTTCGACTTACGATATTGTCGACTTAAGATGGGGTCGTCTTAACGCATCTCCATCATAAGTAGAGGACTACCTGTATTATAATTATCACCAGAGCATGTTTGTTTGCATGCTTGCTTTGCCACAAGCACTACGTGTGGTTACAATGCAGACTTGAGATGATGCCTTGCACAAAAAGGTATCGCACATTTGGGCGTTTGAACATCCTGACACAATTTTGATTTAAAGCTTCTTTCGTGACTGCAGGGATTCATCTTCTTGGTTCTTTCGGTAAAGTCACGTAGAAGGGGAATAATAAAATAATAAAAATAAAACATAATAAAATATAATAAAAAATAAATAACCATTTATAATAAAATAATAAAAATAAAACATTATAAAAAATATAAATAACCATTTATTTCCCTTCTACGTGACTTTACCGAAAGAACCAAGAATATCTGAACATATCTTAACATCTTAACAAAAGCTTAACATCTGAACATCTTAAAACACGATTTAAAGCTTTCGTGACTGCAGGGATTCATCTTCTTGGTTCTTTTGGTAAAGTCACGTAGAAGGGAAATAATAAAATAATAAAAATAAAACATAATAAAATACAATTCTCACGACGTTTTGGCCACAACGCAAGCAGCCGTCCTCAGGTGAGAATTATTTTATTATGTTTTATTTTTATTATTTTATTATTTCCCTTCTACGTGACTTTACCGAAAAAACCAAGAAGATGAATCCTGACACAACTCATGTTATATTGCCAAAAAGGGGATTGACCTCAGGCATGAACACGTAATTGTTACACCCCACACCACCCACCCCAACTCCCATCCGGTGAGACTCACCGCTCACCGCTCACCCTGTAGACTCACCTTGCTGCTTGAGGAAGATCCGTCTCTGTCGCTGGAGCTTGGGTTTCCTCTCGATGACCGGGTTAAAGAAGGTCACCTGCAGACAGCATGCACGCGGTGAGTGGGTCTTACAGGTGGCACACACACACAGAGCAAGCAGTGTGAGTGGGTCTTACAGGCAGCACACACACACACAGCGCACACATAGCGCACACACACAGCAGACACACACAGCGCACAGCACACACAGCGCACACTGTGTGAGTGGGTCTTACAGGTGGCACACACACACACAGAGCACACGCGGTGTGAGTGGGTCTTACAGGCAGCGCACACACACACAGAGCACGCGGTGTGAGTGGGTCTTACAGGCAGCACACACACACACAGAGCACGCGGTGTGAGTGGGTCTTACAGGCAGCACACACACACAGAGCACATGGTGTGAGTGGGTCTTACAGGTGGCACACACACACACAGAGCAAGCAGTGTGAGTGGGTCTTACAGGTGGCACACACACACAGAGCAAGCAGTGTAAGTGGGTCTTACAGGCAGCACACACACACAGAGCACATGGTGTGAGTGGGTGTTACAGGTGGCACACACACACACAGAGCAAGCAGTGTGAGTGGGTCTTACAGGTGGCACACACACACACAGAGCAAGCAGTGTGAGTGGGTCTTACAGGCAGCACACACACACAGAGCACATGGTGTGAGTGGGTCTTACAGGTGGCACACACACACACAGAGCAAGCAGTGTGAGTGCGTCTTACAGGTGGCACACACACACACACAGAGCAAGCAGTGTGAGTGGGTCTTACAGGCAGCACACACACACACAGAGCACGCGGTGTGAGTGGGTCTTACAGGCAGCGCACACACACACAGAGCACGCGGTGTGAGTGGGTCTTACAGGTGGCACACACACACACAGCACACACACACACAGCACACACACACAGAGCACGCGGTGTGAGTGGGTCTTACAGACTGCACACACATACACACACAGCGCACACTGTGAGTGAGTAATACAGGCAGCACACACACACAGCACACACACGGTGTGAGTGGGTCTTACAGACAGCACACACACACACACAGCACACACACACGGTGTGAGTGGGTCTTACAGGCAGTACACACACACAGCACATACACACACACAGCACATACACACACAGCACACACACACACAGCACACACACACCACACACACAGCACACACACAGCACACACACACACAGCGCACCTCTGCAAACAGCACACACAGCACACACAGCACACCGCACACACAGCATACACACACAGCGCACCTCTTCAAACAGCACACACACACAGCGTACCTCTGCAAACAGCACACACACACCACACACACAGCACACACACACACACACACAACACACCTCTGCAAACAGCACACACACACACAGTACACAACACACACAGCGCACCTCTGCAAACAGCACACACACACACAGCGCACCTCTGCAAACAGCACACACACACACAGCACACACACACACAGCGCACCTCTGCAAACAGCATGCCCTGCGGCTCCAGGTAGAGGCACATGCCGTGCCGCTGGTTGTCCAGGAAGTCCTCCAGCCGCAGGAACTTGACGGCGCAGAGGGAGCGCCAGTCGCGCCAGTACACCGAGATCTCCAGCTCACGCGACTACAATGGTGTAGGTGGTGGTGGTGTAGGTGGGTGGTGGTGGTGGTGGTAGTGGTGGTGGTGATGGTGTGGTGGTAGTGGTGGTGGTGGTGATGATGGTGTGGTGGTAGTGGTGGTGGTGACGGTGTGGTGGTAGTGGTGATGGTGTGGTGGTAGTGGTGATGGTGTGGTGGTAGTGGTGGTGGTGTAGGTGGGTGGTGGTGGTGTAGGTGGGTGGTGGTGGTGTAGGTGGGTGGTGGTGGTGTGTGGTGGTGATGGTGTAGGTGGGTGGTGATGGTGGTGTAGGTGGTAGTGGTGGTGATGTAGGTGGGTGGTGGTGGTGGGTGGTGGTGGTGTAGGTGGTAGTGGTGGTGGTGTAGGTGGGTGGTGGTGGTGATGGTGGTGGTGTAGGTGGGTGGTGGTGTCGGTGGTAGTGGTGATAGTGTAGGTGGGTGGTGGGTGGTGGTGTAGGTGGTAATGGTGTAAGTGGGTGGTGGTGGTGGCAATGGTGTGGGTGGGTGGTGGTGATGGTGTAGGTGGGTGGTGGTGATGGTGTAGGTGGGTGGTGGCGATGGTGTAGGTGGGTGGTGGTGATGGTGTAGGTGGGTGGTGGCGATGGTGTAGGTGGGTGGTCGTGATAATAGTGTAGGTGGGTGGGGGTGGTGGTGATTGTGTAGGTGGTAGTGGTGGCGGTAGGATATGGTGGTGATGGTGGTGAAGGTTACAACATGAGGTGCGGTGTCGGTGATGGTGGTATCGGTGCGGTGGTGGCGATGGTGGTGGCGATGGTGGTGGCGATGGTGGTGGCGACGGTGGTTGTTTGAGATGTGCGGGTGGTGGAGGTTGACGATGCAGGGTGGGAGGAGAGGTCAGAGGAGGGATGGACGCAGGTTCACGGTTAGCGCACCGTGGAAGACGGGAGCGCGTCATCACGATTGACTCACGTATTTAACCCCTTGGGGCTCTCACGTCATCTAAGGCATCCTTAAATTTCGATTTAAACCTTTCGTGACTGCAGCGATTCATCTTCTTGGTTCTTTCGGTAAAGTCATCACGTAGAAGGGAAGTAATAAAATAATAAAAATAAAACACAATAAAATAATTCTCACGACGTTTCGGCCACAACGCAAGCAGCCGTCCTCAGGTGGAGAACAGGGCTGTCAAGTAGACAGAGTCTGTCTACCTGTTCTCCACCTGAAGACGGCTGTCTACTTGACAGACCTGTTCTCCACCTGAAGACGGCTGTCTACTTGACAGACCTGTTCTCCACCTGAAGACGGCTGTCTACTTGACAGACATTTTCTCCACCTGAAGACGGCTGCTTGCGTTGTGGCCGAAACGTCGTGAGAATTATTGTATTATGTTTTATTTTTATTATTTTATTATTTCCCTTCTACGTGATTTTACCAAAAGAACCAAGAAGATAAGGTATCCTTTTCGGGGGGGGGGGGGAGTGGTGGTGCAGCGGTTAGCGCTACGCCGCGCTGCGAACCGGACGACCCGAGTTCGATTCCCGCTTACGGCCACCACCGCCAGTGACGATTATCTCAACCGGTCCTGGGCCTCCCCTAGGTCGACTCAGCCTCAAGCGAGTACCCGGTGCGGTGTGTAGTCAACATTGCCACTGGGGAGACAAAGTCATTCTAGATTTGAAGCTTTCGTGACTGCAAGGATTCATATTCTTAGTTCTTTCGGTAAAGTCACGTAGGTAAAAAATTTTATTAAAATTATTGAAAATAAAATAAAAATCACGACAAAGTCGGGCTGGCGAGCGTGGTGCTGGCCACCCACCCCCTCTTTGTGTGCCACAGTGCCGGTAGCCTTCATAGGTGCTGCTCGCTAACAGCACTTGCCCCTACAGCCTACACGGGGGAGCTTTGTCTGTGGTGGTGGAGGTGGTGGTGGTGGTGGCGGTGGCGGTGGCGGTGGCGGTGCCGAGTCCCCTCCCCGTACCCTGTCCAGCTCGATGGTGAACTTGAGGTCCCAGCACTGGTTGCCGATGGGTTTCCACGTCGTCTGTCCCACCACGGAGTTGTCCAGCTTCAGCACGGCCAGGATCTCGTCTGCTGGGACGTGGGTCGGGGGGGTTGGGGGGTGGAGTTGGGGTGGGGGGGGGCAGAGTGAGTTCATTTCAATCGGTCTTCTATTTGCGCAAGACGAATGTTACAAGTGCCACCGTCACATTCACCGCTCGATGTAAGGGCGTGAGTGAGTGCGCGTGCGTGCGTGAGTGAGTGAATGCGTGAGTGAGTGTGTGAGTGAGTGCGTGAGTGAGCGAGTCTGTGAGTGAGTGTGTCTGTGAGTGAGTGAGTGCGCGAGTGAGTGTGTGAGTGAGTGAGTGCGTGAGCGAGTGCGTGACTGCGTGAGTGCGTGAGTGCGTGAGTGAGCGAGTGCGTGCGTGAGTACGCGCGTGCGTGCCTGCGTGCGTGCCTGCGTGCGTGCCTGCGTGAGCGAGAGAGTGCGTGAGTGAATGAGTGTGCGAGTGCGTGCGTGCGAGCGAGCGCGTGCGTGCGTGCGAGCGCGTGCGTGCGTGTGTGCGTGCGCGAGCGAGTGCGTGAGTGCGTGAGCGAGTGCGTGTGAGCGAGTGCGTGCGTGAGTGCGTGAGTGCGTGTGAGCGAGTGCGTGTGAGCGAGTGCGTGAGTGCGTGAGCGAGTGCGTGTGAGCGAGTGAGTGCGTGCGAGCGCGCGTGAGTGGGTGAGTGAGCGAGTGAGTGGGTGAGTGAGCGAGCGTGCGTGCGCGCGAGAGAGACGCACTGGCGACGTCGTCGGGCTTGATGGTGGCGGTGGAGCGCACGGACACGGAGCGCCCGTACACGCTCTTGTTGCTGCGGCTGATGAAGGAGCCCGTCTTGTTGTCGCCGGGGCTACCGGCGGGCAGCGTGGCCGCCGTCGCCTTCGAGCGGTTGGGGACGCTCTCCAGCAGGTCCTGGCAGCCCATGAGGCGCACTTCCAGCGTGCCTGGAGCGGGGCGGGGGCGGGGTGGAGGCAGATGCCGTTGTGCAGTAGTCCGTTGGGAAAATGTAACCCTAGGATGTGTGTGTGGGGTCTTTGCGTGGTGCTGCTGGTGGTGGTGATGGCCGCTTACCCCGCCCCCCAGCGGAGGAGGACGGTGGTGGTGACGATGGTGATGGTGGTGGTGACGGTGGTGATAGTGGTGGTGACAGTGGTGATGGTGGTGACGGTGGTGGTGACGGTGGTGGTGGTGACGGCGGTGACGTTGGTGGTGGAGGTGGTGCTGACGGTGACGGTGGTGACGGTGGCCGCGCGGTGAGAGAGAGAGAGAGCGGTGTGGTTGTTGGTGACGGTGGTGGTGTACTGGCGGTGGTGATGGTGGTGACGGTGGTGACGGTGAGAGAGCGAGCGAGAAGACAGCTCTGCTGACCCGTGAGCGCGGCAGGCTTGGTGATGGTGGTGTACTGGCGGTGGTGGTGACGGTGATGGTGGTGTACTGGCGGTGGTGGTGACGGTGATGGTGGTGTACTGGCGGTGGTGGTGATGGTGGTGGTGATGGTGGTGACGGTGAGAGAGCGAGCGAGAAGACAGCTCTGCTGACCCGTGAGCGCGGCAGGCTTGGTGATGGTGGTGTACTGGCGGTGGTGGTGACGGTGATGGTGGTGTACTGGCGGTGGTGGTGACGGTGATGGTGGTGTACTGGCGGTGGTGGTGATGGTGGTGGTGATGGTGGTGACGGTGAGAGAGTGAGCGAGAAGACAGCTCTGCTGACCCGTGAGCGCGGCAGGCTTGGTGATGGTGGTGTACTGGCTGGCCTGGTAGGCGGGCCCCAAGCCCGACTGATTGCGTGGCGTGTGGTGCGGCGAGGCGACGGTGAGCAGCTCCTCCTTGATCAGAGCCCTCTTGGGGTGTCCCGGCGGGAGCTCCTCCACGCGGCGTTCCAGGGACAACCGCAGGAGGTCCATCTTCTGGCTCGACTCCTGCAGCTCAACCTGAGCCTGTCGGCAACAACCACGAAGATCGTCACGCCGTGACACGCGAGGGGGTTTGGGTTTGGGCAGAGACACGCGCGCGACCCGGCCGCCTTTGTCTCCCCAGTGGCGATGTTTACAAACCACGTCCAGAGTTCGTTTCAACCTGCATGGACCTACCTAGCAGAGGGGCCCAGGACCGGTTGAGATGATCGTCAGCGATGTTTGCCGCGAGCGGGAATCGAACTCGGGCCGCCGGGATTGGAGCGCGGCGTGATAACCGCGACGCGGCCGCTCGCACGCACAGGCACTCACACACTCTCACACACACTCACACTCACTCACACACTCACCCACTCGCACGCACACACGCTCACACGCACACGCACTCACCCACTCGCGCACACACACACTCACCCTATCGCACGCACACTCACGCTCACCTCCTCGCACACACTCACTCGCACACACACACACACTCACCCCCTTGCACGCACGCTCACACTCTCGCACACACACACACTCACCCTATCGCACGCACACTCTCGCACACACACTCACCCTCTCACTCGCACACCCTCTCACTCGCACGCTCACCCTCTCACTCGCACGCTCACCCTCTCGCACACACACACTCTCGCACGCACACACACACTCACCCCCTCGCACACACTCACTCGCACGCACACACACTCACCCCCTCGCACACACTCACTCGCACGCACACACACACTCACCCCGTTGCACACACTCACTCGCACGCACACACACACTCACCCCGTCGCACACACTCACTCGCACGCACACACACACTCACCCCCTCGCACACACTCACTCACATGCACTCGCACACACGCTCACCCTCTCGCACGCACACTCACCCTCATGAATGCACTCGCACTCTCACCCTCTCGCACGCACACTCGCGCGCACACTCACCACCACCACCACAAGCAGCCTATCCCCCCCCCTCACCCCCCACCCCCCGCCCCCCCCCCACCTCAGACAGCGCCTTCTTGTTGTCCTTGGCGCGAGCCCCCAACTGGCGCACGACGTTCTTGGCCCCCTCGGCCACGGCCGACTCGATGCGCAGGTGGTGCCGCAGCTCCTCCATGCGAAGCTCCAGCGGGCTGAACGACGCCTCCGTCTTGGCTGGGGGGGGAGGGGGTGGAGGGGTGGGGAGGGGGGGGGAGGTTAGAACAAGCGGTGGAACCATCACCGTCATCATCATCGTCGTCGTCATCACCATCATCATCGCCGTGGAAACAAGAGGAGGAAGCATCACCACCACCATCATCACCATCATCATCACCATCATCGCCGTGGGAACAAGAGGAGGAAGCATCACCACCACCATCATCATCACCATCATCATCATCACCATCGTCGCCGTGGGAACAAGCGGAGGAAGCATCACCACCATCATCATCATCACCATCATCATCACCATCGTCGCCGTGGGAACAAGCGGAGGAAGCATCACCATCATCATCACCATCACCACAATCATCACCATCATCATCACCATCACCACCATCATCACCATCACCACCATCATCATCATCACTATCATTGCCGTGGGAACAAGCGGAGGAAGCATCACCATCATCATCACCATCACCACCATCATCACCATCATCATCATCACCATCATCATCACCATCACCACCATCACCACCATTATCACCACCATCACCATCGTCGCCGTGGGAACTAGCGGCGGCACCTCCCGTGTAACAGGCGAGGGAGATAACATCTCATAGCCACCGTGGCGTCACCGTCGCCCACAACTTCCTTCAGGCGGGCAAACCGCGGGGTGACGCGACAAGCCACCACCAACAGAGGGAACTTCGCACGCTGCCAGTGAAAGTAAACTTGAGTCCGTGTGTGAAAAACGACGGCGATGAGATGTTAACTTCCTCGCCTGGTCTACAGGAGGTCGTGGGTTCGATCCCGATCTTGACGCCTGCTGCTGCTGTATATTAAGAGTTTGCGTCTCTCTGTCTCTCATCATCATCACGGTGGCTAGGAGATGTTTACTACCTCGCCTGGTATACAGGAGGTCGTGGGTTCGATCGCGACCCTGACGCCTGCTGCTGTATATTTGGAGTTTGCGTGTCTCTCTCTCATCATCATCATCATGGTGGCTAGGAGATGTTAACTTCCTCACCTAGTATACAGGAGGATGTGGGTTCGATCCCGACCCTGCTGTATATTTGGAGTCTGCGTCTCTCTCATCATCATCATCATCATGGTGGCTAGATGTTAACTACCTCGCCTGGTATACAGGAGGTCGTGGGTTCGATCCCGACCCTGACGATGCCTGCTGCTGCTGTAGATTTGGATTTGTTATTAGATTTAGATAAGCCCCTCCACCCTCCCCTGAACCAGTATATAAGATCTTGTCTCTTGGATTTCCCTTCACTTGATACAATCAATTTGGCTGTGACGGTCCCACCTGAAGACGGAGACTTGTGTTGCCTCCGAAACGTCGTGATTTAATTGAGTTATTTTCATTTACTATTATTTTATTAATATTATTTTTTACCTACGTGACTTTACCGAAAAGATTATAAATCCTTGCCAGTCACGAAAACTTCAAATCTAGAAATAGTTTAGTTTTTATTTGTATATTTGTTTCAAGTGATGCCTTTACCTTGACTGTACTTGGCACTCCAATCCTGTTGTTTTTTTTATCTCGTCTTCGCCGTTGCAACGTTACGTTCTGACCCTGTGCCCCTATCGGTTTAGAGCATTTTGCTGCGATGAATATCCACGTGATGACGATGACGACGATGATGTTTGATAAGCAAACTTTATTGTTGAGCTGCCATCGTTCGCGATAACCACGTCGCTTCTGAATAAGAGTTGACACGGCAGCCCAGTGGGGCCTTACTAGCTAAAGTAAAACATTATTGAGTTCGGTACAAACCACCCACCCCACCCGCTGGAGCTAAGCACTTTTAAATCTCGATTTAAAGCTTTCGTGACTGCAGGGATTCATCTTCTTGGTTCTTTCGGTAAAGTCACGTAGAAGGGAAATAATAAAAATAATAAAAATAAAACATAATAGAATAATTCTCACGACGTTTCGGCCACAACGCAAGCAGCCGTCTTCTACGTGACTTTACCGAAAGAACCAAGAAGATGAACCAAGAAGACACTTAAATCATCATCTCTATTGACAAACTCATTCTGTTTATAACTGCTTGTTGTCCTAATGCTAATAGGGGGTTTCCCCCTTTTTTTCTGGCAACAAAACCGAAACCTTTTTACAAGGATTCACGTTACTGCATTGACCACAATACTTGCAGTCAAAATGCAAACAAAAAACACACTTTTTGGTTCTTTCGGTAAAGTCACGTAGAATGGAAATAATAAAATAATAAAAATAAGACATAATAAAATAATTCTCACGACGTTTCGGCCACAACGCAAGCAGCCGTCCTCAGGTGGAGAACAGGGCTGTCGAGAAGTCTGAGATTCAGACTCTGTCGTCTCCATTGACAAACTAATTTCTGAAGAACTTCTGTTTGTTCGTACCTCCCGATGACGATTCAGCACGCTTGGCTACGTACGGCCGCGCTAGAAGTTCGACAAACACACACGCACGTACGTACGTACCCACACCTCCGCACACCGCCGCCCATCGCCGTGAGAGATTTCCCCGCACGCGAAGATTTGGAAAGCGCCATGAGGCGGTGGGTGGGTGGCTGGGTGAAGTGAAACTTGCCGTCGGTTCGTGTCGTTACGAGGAAGTTGGGGGGGGGGGGGGGCGGCACAACAATTTGCGGTCGTCACGCCACGCAGGTGAGCACGCAACGCCCAGGTGCGCCCGCCCGCCCGCCAGCGTGAGTGAGATGTTAACTACCTCGCCCGGTACGCAGGAGGTCGTGGATTCGATCATGAACCCTGATGCCTGCTGCTGCATATTTGGAGGTTGTGTCTCTCATCATCATCACAGTGGCTATGAGATGTTAACTACCTCGCCCGGTATGCAGGAGGTCGTGGGTTCAATCACGACCCTGACGCCTGCTGCTGTAGATTTGGAGTTTGTGTCTCTCTCATCATCATCATCATGACGGTGGATAAAAGATGTTGACTACCTCGCTTGGTACACAGGAGGTCGTGGGTTCGATCTCGAACTTGACGATGCCTGCTCCTGTGTATTTGGAGTTTGCGTGTCTCTCCTTCTATCATCATCACCATCACGGTGGCTAGGAGATGTTGACTACCTCGCCTGGTATACAGGAGGTCGTGGGTTCGATCACGACCCTGACGCCTGCTGCTGCTGTATATTTGGAGTTTGCGTCTCTCTCTCATCATCATCACGGTGGCTATGAGATGTTAACTACCTCGCCTGGTATGCAGGAGGTCGTGGGTTCGATCACGACCCTGACGCCTGCTGCTGTATATTTGGAGTTTGCGTGTCTCTCCCTCTCTCATCATCATCATCATCACGGTGGCTCGGAGATGTTAACTATCTCGCCTGGTATGCAGGAGGTCGTGGGTTCGATCACGACCCTGACGCCTGCTGCTGTATATTTGGAGTTTGCGTGTCTCTCTCATCATCATCACTTTGGCTATGAGATGTTAACTACTTCGCCAGGCATACAGGAGGTCGTGGGTTAGATCCCGACCCTGACGCCTGCTGCTGCTGTATATTGGCAGTTTTCGGTGTCTCCCTCTCCGCGTTTGCGTGGATTTTTCCATGGGTCCTCCGGCATTTCCCCGCACGTTCAGAATCAACGTCACCACGCGTTCACAGTATTTGTCCGCTGCTGTAAATTTCCACGCGGTGACGACGCCGACGACGACAAGCCACTATCGTTCGCGACGGCCAGGGTCTGAAAAATCCACGCAGCAGCTCAAGCGGAGCCTTGCACGAAATAAAAACGTAGTTCAATAATGTAGGGGTGTTACGGGAGGGCAAACAAACACACCAGGTTATGCCCGCACGCGGAAGGATGCTTACATCCACGTCCGCATCGTTTAGCCTGGGGGGCTGAAACGGCGCTGTGATCCCCCACGGCCCCACCCCTCGGGGGGGGGGGGGAGTTGCTATATAAGGCGGTGAGCCGGTGGGCTCGGGGTTCAGTGTTTAGCTTAACCCAGCGAAGAGAGAAGACCAGCTAGATAGGCCTTGGGACTCTCCCCTGGATCGCTGTCCTTCTAGGGACTGACCAGGGCAAGCCAGTGGCGTGGCCCCGAGAGCCCAGAGCCGATGCTCTCGCAAGAGCCGGTCTGGTGACTCAGGGTGCCGTGATCCCAACTTGGCCAGAGCTGGATCAGCTAGCCTCCCCTAGCTCCGTAATGGAGGACCTGGGAGTAGGCTAGCCGGTTAGAGTCACTGGGGTCTCCCTGGTAGACGGGTGAAGGTGCCGTTACCCCTTCGAGTGTCGTATACCTTGGCCTGTGCCGAGTGTGAAGTTATCATAAATAAGGGTGCCTCCGACAACGTCGTCCACGTCTCATTGAAACTACTACAATAGTACAGAGGGGGAGGCGGGGGGGGGGCAAGTAGGGGGAGGGGGGGGGTGGCAGCGTGCGGCAGGCCTCACCGATGCGTTCCCTGGCGTCCAGAGTGAGCTCGCTGGCCTGCGTCGACTTGAGGATCTGCATGCGGATGATTTCGATCTTGGTTTTACTGTCCTGCAGCATTTGCTGTGCTGTGGCCAACATCTTGCGGTCCTGTGGAAAGGGCGAGGTGGGGGGTGGGTGGGTTATCATATTCGTAATCGTTGCCGTTGTGATTGTTACGTCGAACTCAGGGTTTTTTTTTTTTAGGGTCGCGGCTGCTGATGTGGGGGGAGAGGTGGGGGGAGAGGTGGGGGGCGAGGTGGGGGGCGAGGGTGGGGGTCGAGGTGGGGGGCAAGGTGGGGGCAAGGTGGGGGGCGAGGTGGGGGGAGAGGTGGGGGGAGGGGTGAGCGGGCGAGGTGGGGGGAGAGGTGAGGAAAGAGGTGGGGGGAGAGGTGGGGGTCGAGGTGGGGGGTCAAGGTGGGGGGAGAGGTGGGGGTGAGATGGGGGGCGAGGTGGGGGTCTAGGTGGGGGTCAAGGTGGGGGTCAAGGTGGGCGGGAGAGGTGGGGGGAGAGTTGGGGGGCGAGGTGGGGGGCGAGGTGGGGGGGGGAGCTGCTGCTCTCCCAGTTGGGGCTCACCATCAGACCCCCTGTACACCAGGCGAGGTAGTTAACATCTCCTAGCCACCCTGGCACCCCAAAGCCAATGCAATTGATTTGCATTTCCTTTGCGCCGATGGGCTTTTGGCGTCGTTCTCTGGGTGTGACTAGGCCACAGAGGAGGCTGTGGTAGCAGCTCTGGTGGGAGGCCAATCAGGACAACGCAAGCACAAGAGAATGGAGGGCAGCACAAGTACGTACGTTAAACTTTGTCCGCGCACCGTACCTTGGGCGACCGGACCGTGCGCTTAATCGGCGACGCGGCGCAACTGTGGCCCGTCCGCAAAGACCCGACGCTTCGTGCGGAGCGACGGGGCCAGGGGCAGTGGTCGCAACTGGGTACCCGATACCCGTACCCTACCCGATACCCGGCTACCCGTACCCGGCTACCTGTTTGCGACCCTGGTGCGGCCGGGTACGGGTAGGGGTAGGCCGTGAGTCACTGGTGAGTCACCGTTTGTCACTCATTTCCCAACGTCTTGTCTCTTCTCACAATTCAAGTTCCTAGAATCAACCCACCCGTGCCTGCAACATGGCTTCATCCCAGAGGTCGCAATCAGGTACCCGATACCCGTACACTACCTGTATCCGGCCGGGTACGGGTAGGGTACGGGTAGGGTACGGGTATCAGGTAGGGTACGGGTATCAGGTAGGGTACGGGTATCAGGTAGGGTACGGGTATCAGGTAGGGTACGGGTACGGGTAGGGTACGGGTAGGGTACGGGTACGGGTAGGGTACGGGTAGGGTACGGGTAGGGTACGGGTAGGGTAGGGTAGGGTACCCGTTTGCGACCCTGGTTCTCTAACCCCCTCCCTCTCTCGCCCCCGCCCCCTCTCTCTATTTAAGGCCTCATCACTGAGACGTTCTCTCTCTGTGTGCCTATGTGTTGCTCTCTCTCTGTGTATCTTGGTGATATCTGTCTGCTTATATGTATGTCTATAGTTTTCTGGTTAGATTTTTGTTGCTATTTCATTTATACCTGATGACGATTGCTTGTGTTGCAATCGAAACGTCGTAATATGCTATTATTTAATTTATTATTTTATCTTTATACGTGACTTTACCGAAAGAACCAAAGATGAATTCCCGCAGTCATGAAAGCTCCAAAATTAAGATTGAATCAAAACCCGTTTGCGACCTCTGAACAGGGGGTAGCGTCCACACAGCTACACTGTGGGGGGGGGGGGGTCAGGGGTGGGGGGGGACCCACCTTGGAGGGCCCGTTGGAGTACATCTGGATCATGTTCTCAGCACCTTGCTTGACCTTCAGCTCGATGTTGAGCTGCTTTTCGAGAGCTCCGATGCGAGTGTTGGGAGCGCTGGGCCCGGCCTCGCGACGCCCCGCGTCCGGGGACATCGGCTCGTCTGCGGAGGGGCAGAGACGACACGCGACGGTGACGATGATGACGACGATGAGGACGATGACGAAGACGACGACGAAGATGACGATGATGACGATGACGACGATGACGAAGATGACGATGACGACGATGACGACGACGAAGACGACGATGATGACGAAGACGACGAAGATGACGACGATGACGACGATGACGAAGACGACGATGATGATGATGACGACGAAGATGACGATGACGACGATGACGACGACGATGACGAAGATGACGATGACGACGAAGACGACGATGACGACGAAGATGACGATGACGACGATGACGACGACGATGACGAAGATGACGAAGACGACGATGACGACGAAGATGACGATGATGATGAAGATGACGATGACGAAGATGACGAAGATGACGATGACGACGATGATGATGACGAAGATGACGATGACGACGATGACGACGACGATGACGACGAAGATGACGATGACGACGATGACGACGAAGATGACGATGACGACGATGACGACGATGATGACGAAGATGACGATGACGACGAAGATGACGATGACGACGAAGATGACGATGACGAAGATGACGAAGATGACGACGAAGATGACGATGACGACGAAGATGACGATGACGACGATGACGACGACGATGACGAAGATGACGACGAAGATGACGATGACGACGAAGATGACGATGACGACGACGACGACGACGAAGATGACGATGACGACGAAGATGACGATGACGACGAAGATGACGATGACGACGACGATGACGAAGATGACGATGAAGATGACGATGACGACGAAGACGACGATGACGACGAAGATGACGATGATGACGAAGATGACGATGACGAAGATGACGAAGATGACGATGACGACGATGACGACGAAGATGACGATGACGATGAAGATGACGATGACGATGACGACGATGACGACGATGACGACGAAGATGACGATGATGATGAAGATGACGATGACGAAGATGACGAAGATGATGACGACGATGACGACGAAGATGACGATGACGACGACGATGACGAAGATGACGATGAAGATGACGATGACGACGAAGACGACGATGACGACGAAGATGACGATGACGACGAAGATGACGATGACGACGATGACGACGACGATGACGAAGATGACGATGAAGATGACGATGACGACGAAGACGACGATGACGACGAAGATGACGATGATGATGAAGATGACGATGACGAAGATGACGAAGATGACGATGACGACGATGACGACGACGATGACGACGAAGATGACGATGACGACGATGACGACGATGACGACGAAGATGACGATGACGACGATGACGACGACGATGACGACGAAGATGACAATTAAGATGACGACGACGATAATTACGACGATGATGATAATGACGACGACAACGATGACAATGATGATGATGAAGATCACAATGACAACAAAGATGACGATGATGACCACCACCACCCCTGCTGGACGCCCATCAACCGGAGCTCCGCAGCTCATCGCATTCCCTCCAGCGCCGGCTCCCACCACCACTCCACCACTCACTCCCTCCACCACCACCACTCCACCACCACCACTCCACCACTCACTCCACCACCACCTCCACCACCACCACTCCACCACCACCACTCACTCCCACCACCACCACCACTCACTCACTCCCTCCACCACCACCACTCCACCACCACCACTCCACCACTCACTCCACCATCACCACCACTCACTCCCACCACCACCACCACTCACTCACTCCCTCCACCACCACCACTCCACCACCACCTCCACCACCACTCACTCCCACCACCACCACCACTCACTCACTCCCTCCACCACCACCACTCCACCACCACCACCACTCACTCACTCACTCCCTCCACCACCACCACTCACTCACTCCCTCCACCACCACCACTCCACCACCACCACTCCACCACTCACTCCCACCTGTGACGTCGTCGGGGTCTTTGACGACGATGTGCGCGTCGAGGTCCTGCAGCTCCTGGTGGAGCTGCTCGATCTTCTTGCTGGACACCTTGAGGAGGTTCTCCACGTTGGCCAGGTGCTTCTTGTCGGTCGTCACCTTCCTCAAGTTCTCGCCTCCCTCCTTGATCTTCAGCTCCTAGATACACATGGAGACGGAGAGAGAGCGGGGGGGGGGGGCGAGGGAGGGGTGGTAAATGTGGATGATGATTCTAGATTTGAAGCTTTCGTGACTGCAAGGATTCATATTCTTAGGTTTTTTCGGTAAAGTCACGTAGGTAAAAAATGTAAATTAATAAAAGTAAAATAAAATAAAATAAAAATCACGACGTTTCGGAGGCAACACAAGCTTCCGTCTTCAGGTGGAACCGTAATTTTCTCATTCACTTGATACAGCTGTCGTGGCTGTGACGGTTCCACCTGAAGACGGAAGCTTGTGTTGCCTCCGAAACGTCGTGATTTTTATTTTATTTTACTTTTATTAATTTAAATTTTAATTTTTTACCTACGTGACTTTACCGAAAAAACCTAAGAATGTGGATGATGATGATGATGGTGGCGGTGATGTCGCTGTTGATGTCGCTGTGAGCACAATTCAAGGTACGAGAGAAAGAGGGAGGGCGATGATGACGACGATGGTGGCGTCGTTGCCATCACCGAGCACAGATCATGGTACTAAGAGAGAGAGAGAGAGAGAAAGGGGGGGTAGTGCATTTCGATGTTGATTTTAATGTCGGTGATGTCGCTGTTGATGTCGCTGTGAGCACAATTCAAGGTACGAGAGAAAGAGGGAGGGCGATGATGACGACGATGGTGGCGTCGTTGCCATCACCGAGCACAGATCGTGGTACTAAGAGAGAGAGAGACAGGAACATATTGAAGCGTCAACACGAATAGAAACGTGGAAAAAACGGTGAATAAATCAGCGCAATAACGCAACAAATAAAATACGAATTCTAACCCTACAGCAAAAAAAGATGACTTCGCTTAAGGGGCGGGTCCCCGATTGGAAGAGGTCTGTATGGATATGTAATGTGAGGATATGTCCGGGTTGCTGATGGATGACACCTCGTTACGATGATTGGCTCTGCCGGTCCTGGTCACATAGCCAATGGGGAGAGGTCTAGGGGCGTGGCCCTGACGTCATGGGAAGGTGACAGCTGTAAGTAGTGAGGATTGGTTCTGCTGGCTTTAGCCACAGCCAATGGGGGGACGAGTCAGGGGCGTGGTCCTGGGAGCCTACGATGGAGTCTAGAAGATTCCATAGAGGGTAACTAGGATTGGTGGAAAGGTACCACGTGACCCGGGTATTAAAAGGGGTGGAGACGGACAACACGTGGTCAGATCTGGAACGAATGGAGGGTGAGGCCACGCTGGAGCGGAGTCCAGGTTGCCACGTGGTCCAGGCTGCCACGTGGTCCAGGCTGCCACGTGGTCCAGGCTGCCACGTGGTCCAGGCTGCCACGTGGTCCAGGCTGCCACGTGGTCTATGGCTGCCACGTGGTCCAGGCTGCCACGTGGTCCAGGCTGCCACGTGGTCCAGGCTGCCACGTGGTCTAGGGCTGCCACGTGGTCTAGGGCTGCCACGTGGTCCAGGCTGCCACGTGGTCCAGGCTGCCACGTGGTCCAGGCTGCCACGTGGTCTAGGGCTGCCACGTGGTCTAGGGCTGCCACGTGGTCCAGGCTGCCACGTGGTCCAGGCTGCCACGTGGTCTAGGGCTGCCACGTGGTCCAGGCTGCCACGTGGTCTAGGGCTGCCACGTGGTCCAGGGCTGCCACGTGGTCCAGGCTGCCACGTGGTCTAGGGCTGCCACGTGGCCCAGGCTGCCACGTGGCCGAGCGTGTCTTTCTCTCTCTCACGCTGTCTGTCAGCAGCGTGAAGGAATAGTAAGATGGGAGTGTTGTGAACGAAAGACAAATAAAGACCGGATTCCAGACGTCGCTTCCACGACCTTTATTACAGATATATAGCGATCTGTAGGGTTCTTTATAGGGTAGGGATCTGTAGGGGAACCCACCTTGTGTATCTCCTTCTGGATCTGGTCCTTGAGCTCCTGGAGTTTCTGCTGGACGCTGGTGTCCGACAGATCCATGCTCTGACTGAGGCCCAGCCGCTGGGTGACCATGAGGCTGGTGGGGTCTCCCTGCACGCAGCACACGTGTAGTGACATAGGTTCGAATTAGGTGCGCACACACACACACAGCTTGGAGGCAACACTATTTATTAAACGGTAAGTAATATAACACCGTACACGAGGTGGTGACCACCTTCCTCAACTCACTAACACTCTGGAACACGACACGGAGTGGACCAGGCAGGCGACGGGCTGCCTGGCCCAGGACGACGACCCGGGACTTGAGGACCGATGATGTCGTGCTCACTTCGGATGTTCAACACACGCACCGACGTTCAACCACCCCTCTACGATTAGCGCGTCCGGCTAAGCTGCGGTGCGAAAGAAGTTCAACGTACGTACATGCGTACACGCAAAACAAACTATTTAGGAAGATTTGCCGCGTAGCCTTTAACGCAGGGGTGGGAAACGTCCGTGTCAGGCCCACAAAATCATTTGGTGTGGCCCTGGCAAGGCAACCGCAGACGGGACTCGAAATTCAATAAATCTCGGAGCAAACCTGGAAAAGCAGTTGCGAGTAGCAGCATCATCATCATCAACACCAGCAGCTCACATCATCACACGCCTCGCCAAAGAGAAGCAGTTCCAGCCCATCGCGTTAGGGGCGAGTTAATTAAATGTTTGACCAAATATAACAAGGGGCTGATTTTTAAGTTCATAGTTTCGTACGGCCCGCGAATGATGTTATATAAATATCCAAGTGGCCCTTGGCAGAAAAGAGTTTCCCCACCTCCGCTTTAACGGGACCGCGGGGCCCAAAGTGCCTTTAGCAAGCAGCGCTTATGAAGGCCGGCACGGCGCATGAGAAGGTGCCATGGGTTGGCTGACCGAGATGACCGGTAGATGCACCACCAGCTGTACCCCCCTGCTGTGCCAGGCTAGGTGCAGGAGGTCTCGGGACAGACCCTGCAGGTGCCATGGGTTGGCTGACTGAGATGACCGGTAGATGCACCACCAGCTATACCCCCTGCTGTGCCAGGCTAGGTGCAGGAGGTCTCGGGACAGACCCAGCAGGTGCCATGGGTTGGCTGACTGAGATGACCGGTAGATGTACCACCAGCTGTACCCCCCTGCTGTGCCAGGCTAGGTGCAGGAGGTCTCGGGACAGACCCAGCAGATACCATGGGTTGGCTGACTGAGATGACCGGTAGATGCACCACCAGCTGTACCCCCTGCTGTGCCAGGCTAGGTGCAGGAGGTCTCGGGACAGACCCAGCAGGTGCCATGGGTTGGCTGACTGAGATGACCGGTAGATGCACCACCAGCTGTACCCCCCTGCTGTGCCAGGCTAGGTGCAGGAGGACTCAGGACAGACCCAGCAGGTGCCATGGGTTGGCTGACCGAGATGACCGGTAGATGCACCACCAGCTGTACCCCCCTACTGTGCCAGGCTAGGTGCAGGAGGTCTCGGGACAGACCGAGCAGGTGCCATGGGTTGGTTGACCGAGATGACTGGTAGATGCACCACCAGCTGTACCCCCCTACTGTGCCAGGCTAGGTGCATGAGGTCTCGGGACAGACCCAGCAGATACCATAGGTTGGCTGACTGAGATGACCGGTAGATGCACCACCAGCTGTACCCCCTGCTGCGCCAGGCTAGGTGCAGGAGGTCTCGGGACAGACCCAGCAGGTGCCATGGGTTGGCTGACTGAGATGACCGGTATATACACCACCAGCTGTACCCCCTGCTGTGCCAGGCTAGGTGCAGGAGGTCTCGGGACAGACCCAGCAGGTGCCATGGGTTGGCTGACTGAGATGACCGGTAGATGCACCACCAGCTATACCCCCTGCTGTGCCAGGCTAGGTGCAGGAGGTCTCGGGACAGACCCAGCAGATACCATGGGGTGGCTGACTGAGATGACCGGTAGATGCACCACCAGCTGTACTCTCTACTGTGCCAGGCTAGGTGCAGGAGGTCTCGGGACAGACCCAGCAGGTGCCATGGGTTGGCTGACTGAGATGACCGGTAGATGCACCACCAGCTGTACCCCCCTGCTGTGCCAGGCTAGGTGCAGGAGGTCTCGGGACAGACCCAGCAGATACCATGGGGTGGCCGACTGAGATGACCGGTAGATGCACCACCAGCTGTACCCCCTGCTGTGCCAGGCTAGGTGCAGGAGGTCTCGGGACAGACCCAGCAGGTGCCATGGGTTGGCTGACCGAGATGACCGGTAGATGCACCACCAGCTGTACCCCCTACTGTACCAGGCTAGGTGCAGGAGGTCTCGGGACAGACCCAGCAGGTGCCATTGGTTGGCTGACTGAGATGACCGGTAGATGCACCACCAGCTGTAACCCCTACTGTGCCAGGCTAGGTGCAGGAGGTCTCGGGACAGACCCAGCAGGTGCCATTGGTTGGCTGACTGAGATGACCGGTAGATGCACCACCAGCTGTACCCCCTACTGTACCAGGCTAGGTGCAGGAGGTCTCGGGACAGACCCAGCAGGTGCCATTGGTTGGCTGACTGAGATGACCGGTAGATGCACCACCAGCTGTACCCCCTGCTGTGCCAGGCTAGGTGCAGGAGGTCTCGGGACAGACCCAGCAGGTGCCATGGGTTGGCTGATTGAGATGACCGGTAGATGCACCACCAGCTGTACTCTCTACTGTGCCAACTTGCTGCATTTTCGCCGCCTGGCGCAACACTCGTTGCTATGAGCTCCCGACTACACACAAAAAAAGACAAAGATCCCCCGTGTAGCCTCTACAGACTGTAGGGGCAAGTGCTGTTAGCGAGCACCTATGAAGGCACACGAGGGGGTGGGTGGCCAGCTACACGCCCGGCTGCCTTTGTCTCCCTAGTGGTCATGTATACTACACACACCGCACCGGATACTCATTTGAGGCCGAGTCTACCTAGGGCAGGCCCAGCACTGGCTCAGATAATCGTCAGCGGTTCATTTGCGCAGCGCCCTACTAACTGCTACACTACCACACACACAAAGATCCCCCATATAGCCTTAACAGACTGTAGGGGCAAGTGCTATCAGTGAGCACCACACGTGTACACACACGTGTACACACGTGTGTGTACACGTGTGTGTACACGTGTACACACACGTGTACACACACACGTGTACACACACACACGTGTACACACACACACGTGTACACACACACACGTGTACACACACACGTGTACACACACACACACACACGTGTACACACACGCGTGTACACACACACACACACACACGTACACACACAAACCCGTGTAACCACACACACAAACCCGTGTACACACACACACAAACCCGTGTACACACAGACACACAAACCCGTGTACACACAGACACACAAACCCGTGAACACACAGACACACACGTGTACACACACACACACGTGTACACACACACACACGCAAGCGGACTCGTACGCACGCCCGCGAGGTGTGTTGCCAGGCAATCCTCGCGGTGCTCACGGCGTTCCGTTAAAGCCTCCTCGGTAACCCAACACCGCCCGCAACTCCCCCCCCCCCCCCGCGTCATTTCGTTGCCCCCCGATCCGGTTGCAGCAGAATTCAGAGCGAGAGTTTCCCGGCTGAGCCGCGGGACGGAAAAATTAACCCGTAAAAAAATAACCCGTAAAAACAAAGTTTTTCACTATAAATCCTTTATATGCGTGGCATCGGGGCGGCTAGAGTCCTCTCGTCCTCTGGCTTTAGATGGCTGCCACCTATGGGTCAGATGATTGTGTGCCAACATTAACCAATTGGTAAATAAATATTTTTTAAAAATTCCCTAAACAGTGTAAAATTTTTGAAAAAATTTTCACGAAAATTCATTGTCACGCACGACGAGTCTGTGTGCAAAATGTCAGCTCGATTGGATCACGGGAAGTGGGTTAAAAAACGACTGAAAGACTTGCAGAGTCCTAAGCAAGCAAGCGAAGTTAATATAAAGGATTTAAAAACTAAATGTTTCACTATAAATCCTTTATATGCGTGGCATCGGTTTTATTTTATTATTCATTTCTGTTTTTCTTGAGTAAGAGTTTCATTTTTATCACGTTGGTATTTTAAATAAATTATGAAAAATGTTTTTTCATAAAAAGTGGAAAATTTAGGAAAATTTTTTTTCACGAAAATTAATTGTCACGCACGACGAGTCTGTGTGCAAAATGTCAGCTCGATTGGATCACGGAAAGTGGGTTAAAAAACGACCGAAAGATTTGCACGGTCGTAAGCGCGCAAGCAAGCAAGTGAACTTAATATAAAGGATTTAAAAACCAAAAGCTTTATATTGTGACCAGGTAAGGGCCCACCGAGCGATGTACAGGTGACCCCGGCTGTCACGTAGAAATGTACAGCTGCCAAAGAGTCTAAAAAGGCACGTTTCTACATGCGGAGGGGGAAAAAAATATCAGAAAACCGGAAGAAAAATCCACGCGACCATGGGGAGAGAGACATGCAAACTTCAATATACAGCAGGCGTCGTCAGGGTAGGGATCAAACTCTTTATCCTCCTGTATACCAGGCGAGGGAGTTAACATCTCCTAGCCATCGTGATGATAATGAGAGACACGCAAACTCCAAATATACAGCAGCAGGCATCGTCAAGTTCGAACCCACGACCTCCTGTACACCAGGCGGGGTAGTTAACATCTCCTAGCCACCGTGATGAGAGAGAGAGAGACACGCAGACTCCAAATATACAACAGCAGGCATCGTCAGGTTTGAGATCGAACCCACGACCTCCTGTCCACCAGGCGGGGTAGTTAACATCTCCTAGCCACCGTGATGAGAGAGAGAGAGACACGCAAACTCCAAATATACAGCAGCAGGCATCGTCAAGTTCGAACCCACGACCTCCTGTACACCAGGCGGGGTAGTTAACATCTCCTAGCCACCGTGATGAGAGAGAGAGAGACACGCAGACTCCAAATATACAACAGCAGGCATCGTCAGGTTTGAGATCGAACCCACGACCTCCTGTCCACCAGGCGGGGTAGTTAACATCTCCTAGCCACCGTGATGAGAGAGAGAGAGACACGCAAACTCCAAATATAC